GCTTAGGTTGCATGAATTGCATTTTGTACAAATTAGAGAGAATGTATTGTTTTCTTAGGAAGCCCAGTAAAAAGGTCATTGCAATAATAGATTCTGCTTGTGACAAATGCATCACTCTGGGACAGAAAAGACTTCAGATGATAGAAAGCAACTTTAGTAACATTATTTAAGTGAGGGATAAAACGATAATATTTAATAATAATCCTAAAATCTAAAATCTGAAGAAGATGGGACGCTGGCTGCAGAGAGCATTGTGCAAAGGCAGTTGCGAATGCAGTTTCTGTCTAAATGAGTCTCTCTGTGCACCAGTCAGAAACTGTTCAGTGCTTTTGCAAAATTGTCTGATAAATCCATTACTCATGTAAAAGGCTTAGACTAGGGGTGACCAAACTTTTTTGTCTTAAGGTACCAAAGTGAAACAGTACGTAGGTAGATTTCAAATTGAGTTTTAAAGCTATTTTTCAACATTTAACCTATGTTTTGTTACTAAAGTGCACTTAAAAGTAAATTTAAAAATGTAATTTTATTTATTTAGTGTATTGTATAAGAAAATGTATGTTTGTTCTTTCATTGGGTGAGGTGGTGGGGTTAAGGCAACTTTCTGGTGGCCAGCAGGCCTCACTTTGTATGGTCCTCCCATAGACTAACACCAGATCAGCATTTTTACTCTGAGAATATGGCCCCTTGCAATTATTTCCTTCTGGTTTCAGGTTTGTTCCTGACCTTGAGGACATTGTAAACTTTGAGGAGTTGGTGAAGGAGGAGAGTCTCTCTGAGGAGACCCAGAAAGCAGCCAGGTACTGAAGCACAGTATCTCTATGTCTGCCATGCCTAATTTTACTTTTGTTACATTGAAAACTTAGCATGACCGACTTCTTTACCTGAGATCTCAGAAGAATGTGGAGAATAAAGTTCTAAAATTTCAGCAGAGGTTGGAAAAGCACCAAGTAAACAAACATGTCTTTCATTTCAGCGTCCTAGACTCTGTCCTCAGTGACCTGACCAGTAACTCTGCAGAGGGGACTGAGTACTTCAAAATGCTCGTGGGTGTGTTTGCCCCAGAGTTCCGTAGTGTGAAGAACATGCACTTGAGGAACTTCTACATGATCGTTCCTCCTTTGGTAAACGGCCATCTTGGTGTTTTGCTCTGCTTGTTGTCATTTGTTTTCTCAGAGTGTTTCTGTTGCCCAAGAATGTCTCATTACCCCCGCCTCCTCACTCACTTACCCACTCTCCCAAACTCCAGACGGTGAATTTTGTGGAGCACTCCATCAGCTGCAAGGAGAAGCTGAACAAAAAGAACAAAAATGGCGCTGCTTTCACAGATGATGGCTTTGCCATGGGTAAAGATCAAATATATATATTTATAAAACAAATGATCAGTATTCTGTTGCACAACTCCTCCATCTCAGCTTGTGCGATTTGTTTTTGTCTAATGAACATCATCTTTTTTCCTTGTTTTTCTCTAAGGTGTTGCCTACATTCTGAAGCTGCTGGACCAGTATCAAGAGTTCGATTCACTCCACTGGTTCCAGGCAGTCCGAGAGAAATACATGAAAGAGATGAATGCAGTGGTGAAAGAGCAGAATGTCCAAGCCACCAACCAAGATGAGAAACTCATGCAGACCATGAACTTAACTCAGAAGAGACTAGATGTCTATCTGCAGGTACTGTGAGCTTTTGTAGCCTCATGCTATACATGCTCTGTCTCTTTTAGAAGGCATTTAGAGGTGGATGAGAAGATGGTTTTGAAGGATTTCATTGCTCTGCTGACACTTACTGGATGCCTTTTGTTTGCTGGCAGGAGTTCGAGCTGCTTTACTTTTCTCTGAGCAGTGCACGCATCTTCTTCAGGGCTGATAAGACTGCAGCAGAGGAAACCCAGGAAAAGAAGGACAGGGGTGGGTGAATTGCTGTTTGATAGCAATGTAGTACTTCACAATAAATTATCTTACATGGCTCTCTGAACCTGCCTTCTGGATGGTTTGACCCTTCCCAACATTGTCAAGCAAGGAGGTGAATTGTTTGCTTCACATGCATTTTGTTTCCATCACATCTTTGGTAGTACATATTAAGCGGTTGTTTTTAGAGATACTTTCCCACCTCACAGCCAGTTTTTGATTGGTTGAAGGTTCTTGATTGGTGTCTGACACCAAGCAAAGCCATAAGGTCAAAGAAATATGAATAGGTGATTTTAATTATCAGCAATCAAATTTAATTAATGGCACTCTGGCTATGGTATCTGTAGAAAAAATAAAAATGAAAGAAAGAAATAAAGGAATAGACGGTCTCTTACAGAGTATTTCCCATTATTTAAGCACTCAAACCTTTGAGACCTTTCCTTTTAACTTGCTCTTTCCTATTGTACAACAGCAGACTATGTTTCAGCACAGTTCACAGTTCAGAAAGTAGATAAACAGTTGTTGGGAACTGATTTTCCACTTGCAGTATGTCGTAGCCTGACCTTATTTTTATCGCTAGATCCCATGTTTTTGCTTTAAAACATCACTTTAGTATTTGAGATTCTATAATGAAACAAACTATTTTAATGTAAAAGAGGACACATTTTAGTGCCTTTTTCAAGTGTGCTAGTCTTTCTGAATGATTACCATGACAACGGAGCTCAAGTTAAACATCTCATCCCCTAGTTTTGTTAAAAGAAAATGCATCAGTGTTTCTCAGAATCCTTCAGTTTGATAATAGAATTGCAAGCAGAATGTTTATTAATAAAATTTAATGCTGATTTTTTTTCTTTCAGAAGATGTTGCTAAAGCGGATGCTGCTTCTTCTTAGGCGTCCGTCTCCACTGAATCCAGTGCCAAGTGAAACTGTGGAAGTCTTGGGATAAATTAATGACTGTAAATAAAATGTACCTAGGAGGAATATAGAGTGCCATATGTTGTATGGTAAACGAGTCTTGTATTGCTGGGAGCAGATAATGGCCTTCATTTTTGGACTTTGAATTGGAAAGGTACAGTGAGAAAGCTGTGGAACGTTTGTTACTTCTCATGCACTTCATTTGACTGGAACTGATGTTTATGTTCATTGATCTGCTTTTAGAAGGACAGGGTACTGTCACCATGCATTACTCTTTATCCCCTGCTACATTCGGATTTAGCTTTGTTCAGAACTATTACACTTGCCAGGTGTGCAAGTTTGGCAGCTGTCACTGGTTGGTGAGAGAAATCATAATACTATTAACCACTTCTCAGTCAAAAGGAATATTTTAATATGGTAATAGTTAGCACTCTGATGTGAGAAAATGGCATTTTAATTGATTTACTAATCACCTTGAATGATTTGTTACTCTAATTAGAAATATGTTTTCCTGATCTTTTGTGTTGGTGTACAAACTGGAGTTGCCTATGAACCTCAGAGACTAACTGGCCTTGATTATTATAGCACTTACATACCCAGTTAAATTAGTTTCTGCAGGGTTGCACAGCAGTTTTACTGGTCTTAAAGAGCAGCCCTGCCACAAAGTCATAGGTCTGTAGTAAGTAGACTGCATTAAGCAGTGTAAATGGTGGCTATGTAAAACCCTAAAAATCCTAAGCGAATGTTTGTGATGTAGCAAAGTAACATTCTGTTTACAATCTGAGATTCATGCTGCCTAAACCATATAAGAGTGCAGTTTGGGCTCCCAAATGGTACAGCTGTCTAAGTGTTGGCCCTGTCATCAGGAGATTGCGAATTCCATCCCTAGTGATGCTACAGCCATCCGTGGCCAGGAGCCTAAGAGAACACAGTTGCCCCCCCATCTCCCCCTGCATCACTCGGTGCGATGCTAGCCAGCGCAGGTATCTGTGGCTGACATAACAGAGCTGGTGGTTAGCGCTCTCCTCAGAGCATTCAGCTGTCCAGTGATGTTGCATTAGTGGCAGTTCAGAAAGATGTGGTGGCTGGCTTGACTTGGAGGAATCAACCCTCCCAGCACTGGTGGTATCATGTGATTTGGAGGAGTCCCAACTAGTGGGTGGAATTGGACACGACCAAATTGGGGAGAAAATTGGAAAAATGCCAAACAAATGCACAATTTTGGCATGTTTTTTTTATATCAGCATGTATACATTATGAATGTGGCTGAAGCTGTGGAAGAGTTCAGAAGCATCGTGTGGAAGAGGTGACATCTCATTGCACAAGCCTTAATATGCAGTATTCCAACAGTGGTGCACATGATGGGTGCCTAATGGCAGGATTTGTTGTTTCGGAAACATTCCAGCTGAATGTTGATTCTCCATGCTCCCTGTACACTTTTCACTTTTTGTAAAATCAATTGTTTGTGTACAATTAATCATTATGAGTAATGACATAATGACCTTAATAAAAAGATTTCTTAAAACATAATTATTGGCATGCATTGTCTGCATTGTTTATTTATATATGTTCACTCTAGTGGAATTGCAAAGTAATCAGGCTTTAATTCTAAGCTCAGATATTTACATTAAAGGGGACTTCCACCATTTTTTTTCAAAATTGTGCACTATTAAATGCATTAAATTTACAATGCAGTCATTCAGAATGTTGTTTGTGAAACACTCTGTTCTAGACAAACTCAGAACTGTTCAGTGTTGGTAATGGGAACCGGATGTCTAAAGAGTTTAATGCCTCAAAAAGTTATCACATTAAATAAACCATTTCACATTGAAACACTCAGAATGAGTTTCACATCGCAGCATTTTAATTATGCAGATATTTAGAAAAAATGGTGGAATTTCCCTTTAAGCATTCTGATATATCACATTTATGTGGCCTAATGTGCATGCACTAGCTTTTGGTTCAAATGAACTTACATGCCATTGTGTTCAGCCATTTGCCATCAAATATTTTATGTCCTTTTTTGTGTTACCCCACAGCAAATGTTCACATTGTGAGTTGACCCGTATACATGCAAGTCTTCCTTGTAGTAACTTAAGTTTATTTTCTGTCTTGGTCCAGACCCATAGCCAACTCTTCTACTGCTGCTCCTCAGACCCTTCCCACAGAGAGACACACACTGGTTCAGGAAAGCCATTCTGCTTTATTACAAAGAAAAGAAAGAAGCTTTAAATGTGATCAGAAAATACAAGACTGGTCAGGCTTTTGTTAGCGGTGTACCTGTTTTCCTTTTCCTATGAAATGCTTCTATTCAAACAGCTGCAACTGAAATGTCTCCACCCTCATTGTTTTGGGGTACGGATGTCCTTGGTTCTAGAAAGTCAGGCCTTCCTTTTTTTGTTTCTTTGTCTTGGTCTTAAGTGCACAGGGTAACAAACGTGAATCCCTGTCTGGCAGCTCAACATTATTAACACTATGTTTTTTTTTTTTTGTCGTTTTGATTTTTTTTAATTTCTAACACATAATGCCACCACTGCTCACCTCCTAAAAATGAGGCTGAGCAGAGAATATTTACCTTTTTTTCCAAAATAGACGTCATGTATATATATATAGATACAGCTATCTATATATATATATTATATACACATTCGTACATACATATCTTTATTCATGTGATGTCCAAAAAATTAAAAAAATGTACACGTTTATTACAAAATCGTAACAAAGACTGAAAAGTGTTTTTTTTCCTGGAACAATGTAGCTCAGTAATCTCACAACCTCCTGGGTGAGGATGGTCCACAAGCTGTTTCCACAATGGTCACTAAAACAGTCTGATTTTGTAATTATTGGAGTTAGGCAGAGAAAACCTGACCGGATATAGGACTGGCTGCAGGGTTAAGCTGACGGATCGAAGGAACGCTCTGGAGGAGAACAAAGGACAAGGAAGAGAATCCATGATGTTAACAACAGGGTGTGTACCCTTCCAGACAAAAACAGAAGAGAATTTTTTTTTCCCCCAGATAAAAAAGCACAAAACAATTTTTGTGTTCTTTTATTACTAAATAGTGCAACAATGAACATTGCATTTTTCTTCCGCCCTTTTGTATTCACATGTATTGGATTGATTTTTGTGTCTGTCCTGTTTACTAGCACAGTACGTTTCAGAAAAAGAAACGTAGCCTTTTCGTTGCTGTTGTTTTTACCGCTGTGTATTTGTTGTACTGCAAGTCAGTTCTCCTGCCAGAGACCAAATGGGCTTTTGATCTAAGGCGTAAACAAAACACAGACCCGTGCTCAAAATGAAAAGAGAGAAAAGCAAGAGGGTACTTAAAAACAGTGAAAGTGTGTTTGAGTGTTGTTTTGGGCAGCACATAATTTGTAAGGCAGGGACCCTCCCCTCAGTTCTTAAGGTGGAGACCCCCCACCTCCCCCCCCTCCCACAGTCCTTGTCCAGACAGGTGAGGAATAAAACCAGGTTGTGGTTGGGCTCGCCGGCTGGCTGGCCCTGAGGTCTGCTCCTGGAGCTCACAGACGCTAAGCGACTCGGTTTCAGAAGGCCTGCTGGGCCGGGTTGTAGTTGAAGGTGGTTGGCACGTGAGGCCGCTCCTCAAGCTTGTCATATTCGAGGTGAAACTCCTTAAAATAGGAGGAAAAAGACTCATTAGTAACATTTGGAATTATTAATGTAGTCTTGTCTTTGCAAAATAGTAGATTCTCTTCATTCCGGTAGACAGCATTACACTTTTAAAAATAAAGGTTCCTAAATGGTTCTTGTCTTAGATGTATAGTTCTAATTGGGAAAACCTATCAATATGGAACATTTATATAATTTGGACTCTACTAAGGTTTTTCACATGTGAACATTTCTTGCATTTTTTTAAAGGAACCATTTACATAAAGGTTCTTTAGGGCAGTGGTTTTCAAACCAGTCCTCAGGGACCCCCTGCCAGTACACATTTTTTGCTCGATCCTTATGTGTTGCGAGTTAGGTTAAAGCATCTGGGGGGTTTGAGAACCACTACTACAGGGAACCAAAAAGAATTTCAAAGAACCATTTTTGGCACCTTTTTTATTTATTTATTTTATTTTATTTATTTATGTTTATGTTCATAACTTTACCTTAGCTACTTTTCTCCAGTTAAGACAATCAAAGAAGTAGTATGTCCCTCTCTCGTAGGTGTTCGTCTTGAGGGTGGGTTCCATGCCTGGTGCTCTTGTAATCCACACCCTCTCCTCCTTATGGTACCTCCAGTCTCGGTTGAAGCTGCAACACAGGTGCAAAATATCATATGGGTTAAATAGAGCAATGAATAGGATTACTTTCTCCTCAAACTGTGACTGTAAACCTGTAAATACATTGACAGCTTACTACATGTATAAATGTCATTTCTTATTTGAATGTGCATGAAAAGTGTAAAGTAATGCCTACAGTTCCACAGCAGCTAGAAGCTGTAAGAGGTCTCCTCCATTCATGTAGTAGAGGTAGAACAGCAGGTCCTCTCCATAACGTGCCAGTTTTATTGCAGCCAGCTAGAAACAAATGAGTAAAATTAAACCAGACAACTCAAGACAACCAGACAAAAATTATTCTCGACTGTGTGTAGTGCCAACATAAACCAAACATTTCACGAAGAAAAAAAAATGCATCTTACACAGGTAAATCATGAGAATTCAAGTTTGTAACTGCAAATTCAGCATGTCTACCAGACGTGATATGACTACATAAAGTCACACAAAAGTCTACTACATAAAGTCACACAAAAGTCACATACCTTGTCCCTTATATGAATGTTGGTTAAGTACTCAGAGGGAACATGGAAGTCTGAAAAAGAAGTGTTGAGCCGATTACTGAACTATGCTGATCTTTGACTTTACATCTGATTACTAAAACAGATACTAACCAATATCCTGTGGTCGGCATGGTGCAGAGGCCCAAGGAGATGCAAACTTAGGATACAGATTCCTAATGGAGAAGAGTCAAGCATAAACTTGTCAGCAGAAAGTAACAGAGAGACTCAGAAGATGTACTACTGGAAAATCTTAAAGCAAAAAAAAAAAAAATAACATAAGAGAGCACTACAAGCCATGAGCAGAGTGAGGGAGCCAACAACATGCAAGAAAACTTAGACAAGTCTCATACTCAGGAGAATTGAGGTTGAGTCCCAGTGTAGTCAGGTCGCTTCCTAACGCCAGGTGAACCATGCCAGGATCTGTCTCGGCCGCCCGGATGAACGCCAGAAGTCCAATCATTCCAAACTGGTCCGTCACCATTCCTGAAGGAATGTTCGTCACTTTGCCTGTGGGAAAAGGCAGTGCATTGACTATTTACAGCTAATTAACTAGTGCTGTGGCTCCAGCTTCAAACTGCTGTTTTAAAATAATTAGTGAAGCTGGCATTAGACATCTACAGGTGATAATGACACGTCACGTCCTTGCTATGAATGTCATGATTGTGAACATCAGCTAAGTTACAATTATGTTTAACCTAGTTTATGTTTAATTTTTGTTTCTTAACCAACAACCTTGATCGTTTCTTAATACTGCTCATCCACAGGCTGGTCAATTTTCACCCTTATGGAACAACATTACAGAATCATTTAAGCAAAAACTTACTTAGCAAATACCATCAGAAAGATTTTCAGTTACAGTTCTTCATCCAACAAAATTAAATGGTCTGTAGTTTTCATTTGCTTTTATATGTATTTGATGTGGCCATAAATCAGTTCAGTGACTTCTGGTAGAAAAACATGACAGTGAGACCTAATGACTGCTGCATTAGTACAACAGAATTTGAAATGTTAGTCTATCTAACAGGCAGAAAAGGCTACAGCCTTTTAAAGGAACATATTCTGCTACTGAAATGTTACTGTACTATTGTAGACTGCTTGACCCAAACAGGATTTAATTGCCCTGCATGGTTCGTTTTATGCCTTTAAAAATTTTCCTCTTATACTGTGACCACTAGAGATTAGACATCATGTTAGGAACTTTAGTCTACAGAACTGTTTTAAACAAGGGTTGTCAACCTCAAGCACTCCTTCCGGGAATGTAAGCCTCTTTAAAGAACTGGTCATATTTATACAACCTTAAAACACTTCAGAATTTTTTGGGTGTCTAAAGAAGCTCACCATCAGGCAAGACCTGGATCCCTTTCTTCTGCTGGTTGTTGTTCTGTGCTGATGTTTTATCACCTGGGAACTTAGGGCCATCTGCACTGGAGCTGCTCTTGGCTGATGAGTTCAAGTTCTGCTGAGTAATACAACAGAACAGATGAATGACAGCAAAGAGAAATTGCACTTAAAACGACCAAGCACAAAAACAGTATATTTGATCTATACCCCCAAAACAAGCACATAATTCTAAGAATTAAAAAAAGTCAAAGCTATGTTACACTGACTGATTTGCTTTCGTCCGTGCTCAACGTTGGGTCCTTGTAGTTCGGCCCAGGCAGTGCAGGGAAGTCCTCGTTGTGAATCGAGAAATCTTGTGACTGTTCAGTCGATGGTTTTGTGACCATCCCAACTGTGAGAGCACCATATATGGACATATGATACATTATTAGGCAACAACAATAAAAACCATTTACAAACAATTGTTGCAAACAAATCAAAATAAAAGTATGCTAATCTTCTAGCTTTTCTCTGAGAACAACTTAACTATCAGTTCTCTGTTACTGGCGTGTAAAATGATCCCTCACCGTAGGGAGCCCTTCCAGCCAGGGGATTATGCAACGGTGTTGGGTTGCCATTTCCTTCCCTCCGACTTCTGTCTGCTAACGCCGGAAAGTCAGAGAGGTCCAGTCCTGTCACGTTTTCACTCCCATCTATAACGCAGACCACACAAAACAGGCTTTCACAGAGCATGAAAGAGGAAACATAAACATAAAGAGGAACATTTCCAAGACCTCCAGCTTGTCTGTGACTTATTGGCAAACAATCATAATTTATAATTAAACACATTCATGGGATGTGTCAAAACAAAATGATTACGGTCAGGATATCACAATTACTCTATCATTGACTCACCTGTGCCATTGAAGATGTTGTTCGATAAAGAGTTCATACCAAACCCTTGACTTCGCCCCATTCCAAAACCTGACATACTGAGGAATGGTACAGAGGTGTATGTTACTACTGATACAGACTGGTTAACCAAAACTATCAGCGTTCAATTACTGATTGACTGACTGACTTACTTGCTGTATTTTGTGGCAATGCTACAAACTGATTGATATATTACAGTGACTAGTAAATGCATTAAGTAACTACACATGCCTACACATGCCAACGCATGCCAGCCTTAGCTACATCAAAGCTAGTTTCAAACTGCCTTGCCTGACATTGCAAATTTCCCTATTATGAATAGAAGCTTTACCTGTTGATGGTGAAAGGCTGGCGTGCTGGCTGTTGCTTTGGCATGCAGATGATGCTAGGAGAGCTGCGGTTGGGGCTGCCAAGGCCCGAACTGCCCATACTGTTGGTCCTGCCACTCATACTCATGCCCTGGCCCACCTGCGAGTGATTCATCATGTTTCTGGAGTTCATGGGTAGAATTCCCCTGTGAAGGTATATGTGGTATTTAATCAGCATATCATAAGCATCAGATAATACACACTTAAAAAAGGGATCGTGTAGGCCTACCTGTTCGGCGAAGGTGGGGTATGGAGGGACATTGTTGGGACGCCTGTCGTTGGGGTGCTATGGCTCGGTAACTGAGTACCTTGTGTTAAACTTCGGTTTAACTGAGGGTTGTTGTTGTTCATGCCCCTTATTGAGAAGCCTAGTGCACCTGATAAAAAACATGACAGTGCAGGTGAACTAATACAGCCTTATGCTTACTACACGAGTCAAATTAGATAAACATACTCACTTTGTGGCCCATACAAACTTGCACCAAGTTGCGACAATTGACCTGACGATGATGGTGAGGGAGATGCCAGCATCTGAAAGAAAATCCACAACATTTTCAATTTTGCTACATCTTGCACATCAAAACTAGCTTGAGCACTTGTCAAGTGAGATGCTTCATACAACAGTGACAAAATCCAGAAAACGTTTCCCCTTACATCCTTCTCTGATCGATGAGGGAACATCGACGGCTGGCCATAATACATGCTCTCATCAGGGTAGTCGCTTTCGACCCCCTCAAACTTCTTTCTCGTAGCACTGAACATACCGTTCGTCACCTGTGAAAACAGTTTAGACGGTAAAAAGGGAAGCAAAAATTCTACAGTTTAGCTTTGGTTCTTGTCTCTTCACAAGTCATAGCACACATTTTGTGACTGATTGTACAATTTGCAGGGTTATGATGCACGTATCAATATGTTCAATGCTTTTTGAGATGAATGCCCACATAAACTAAAGGGCAGTTTCCCAGGCACAAATAAAGCCCTCCCTGTGCTTATTTTCAATCTAGAATCTCTTTATGCATTAATGTTAGAAATTAATTCAAGTCCAGGCTTACTTCATGTTAGTAAAAAAAAGCCCTAACCTCATGGCATCTTCAACAGGGGTGTCCAGAGTTACTCTCTGTCAGTGTTAGACTATTATGACATTGTTTTGAAAGAAATCAGCACACATAAAATCCATGTGAGCACTAAAAGCAAGTCAACCGAAGCAGTTATCACACAAAACCAGATCCAAAATTATAAATGATAACACTGATGAAAGAACCAAGTCAGATGCACCGCTTATCGCCTCTTTTCTATTGTTTACATAAACACTTGCTGCTATAATAGTCTGACAGTGGGCACTGATAAACAGCAAACATCGTGAGGAAGCACCAAGCTGCATTATAGAAAACTGAAAGCTGTGAACTGGCTTAAGTTCTAGTTTACAAACAATAAGTGCGGAGACGGGCTAAATTCAACCGGAGTAACGAGCTAACTTACATGTTACCGAACTATAACGACGATCTAACACTGTGAATTTAGTTAACTGGAAAACTATGCCGGTATAGACAAAACCACTTATTTTTCGTTTACCATGTTCTACTATACTTACGTTGACAAAATATGATAAAAAGCGTTTATCGAGGATTGTATCTGTTACTTAGCTAAGCTAACTAGCTGGTTACAGTACTGGGTCTGAGCAAACTGCTAGCTAACGTCAGCAAATTAAATGGAGAGCGATTGTTGCCTGTGGATCCAACCAGCTAGCCTGCTAAAGCTAAGTGGTGTTAGCTAGCCGACGAACCCAACAGCTATCGAGCTAAAGCTGCTAAGCGCAAACAAGGCTAAACGACGACTACTGACAAAATACTGAATAATCAACAGCACACTAACTAGCTAACTAGAGCTCTAATAAGACCGAGACTCAGTTCAATCAGCAGCGGTGTATCATTTACTTTATTGGTTTACTGGATGTAGTATTAGCATTTAGCTAGCAACAGCGCTAACAAAGTATCTCAGGAGCTTTGAGAGCCAGAGTGGTTTAGGCCACCGAGCCTCCCGCTCGGCTCCGCTCTCTCTGCCGGCCTCTCTCTAAGCCTTTAGCTCGACAGCAGGCTGGAGCTAACGCTGCTAGCTCGGACAAAAACACAAACGTACGAGCCCCTGCAAACGCTTCGCTCCGTTTGTTTAGACTCAACCTACATACAAGGTTAAAAATCACCCAAAGCCATGGCTCTGTTTTTGCGTTATGTTCGAGGCGGACCGTGCGGAGCGGTGTTTTTTGTTGTTAATAAACGTAGAAATTCACTAACCGCATTAATTTCCCCTCGGCTCGTAGACCCAAGATGGCTGTGTATCCTGCAGCCGAGAATCCTGGGTGAGCAGCCTTTACCCCCTGACCCTGCACTGGCCTCTAGAGTAATTCATACTGATTTACGTTATCATAGGCCGCACCGAGGTTTATACATCATTATTTACTCAGGTTATACGCTTACGGACATACCTGTTCATGTTGTGGAAATACATGGATGCACTTTGTTTTATTCAGTTTGATACTTTCTTATCTAGGCCAACATACCTGCTCTAGCAAGACAGCCCTGGCCCTGTTTGGCTAGCTTACATCACAAATATGACCATTTTATACTGTCCAGCTTGTATTCATGTATTTTCCTTGTGTGTTAGGTTCCAGAGTATTTCATGGGAATATACTTTGCTCTTAAATTAACATAAGCAACACATCTAGGTGGTAGGTAGTGTGCCAAACATGACCAAAAACTGTAAAGGTAACTTTTTTTAACGTTGCTTATGGATGTAAACAACTATTTCCAGAAGTTTTACTAATTTGTTTCCTTGAAGTGCCCATGTCTGATATTTTTCTTGTGTTATTTTTTCCCCAGAAGTTCACATATGACATGTGTGTGGTTTCACATGCCAAAAATATGTGTAATTTATCTTCCCATGACCATTTCTAATTTCTCCTTATCCCTTAGAATTGAACAGGTTGTTTTTGTCATGTGCCTTTAAGACTGATACATGTAAGTGAGCTCTGTTCTGATTGGCTGCCATGTTTTGTGCTTCATTTTAAAAGCAGTCCGGCCTTAAACACTCCTTCACAACTACAATGGGTGGGGCTAAATTACTGTAGGCAGAGTAGGGGGATATATGTGTTGGTTTTTGTGACATCACAAAAACAGTTAATTCAAAACATACTGGGTTTGCAGTTAAATTTTCATATCGCTGTTGTCAGAACAAAATCTTGTATCTCCAAAATGATAACTTTACAGGAGAAGGAAAAAAAAGCTACTTTACTTTTAATGTAAGTCAATGGAACCAGATATGTTTCCAAGTAATTTTGGGTGTTTCTTCTGGTCTATTTATTATGAAATGTACACACAAAATAAAGGACAACAGGCATTTTCAAATTGTGTCAAAAACAGAAAAACGACAAAAATGGAGATACAAGGTTTTGTTCTGACAGCAGCCATATATGGACTATACGGACTGGGAAGTGGATGGTATGTTTTGAAATTTAAGTAATGTTCAAATACTCTATCAAACTTTTATTTCAAAAAAGTGAGGAAAATTCGGTTTTCCTGATATGGGCTCTTTAAGTTTGTACTCGGTCCTCTGCCTTGGCTATTTAATGATCTACAGTACTACCAACTGTGTGAAGGCCAGTACAAACTTCTTTCAGTGAATACAGATCTGTTGGCCAAGCTGCACTGTCAGAAGCTCTTGTCAGAAGCTCTCCACTTAGCCACATGGCCACACAGACGCCCAACTGGCTGCCGTGATGAGAGCGTTGAGAGCAAGTTGGATACTGGCACCTTTCTTTCTGTATCGGAGCACTTCTGCACTTTTACTGCAGGTGCCATTAGGTCATTTGTAGACCTGGGTTTATGTTCAAGTTATCAAAGAGGAAAACAATTGTATTAGAAATTTAATGTTGTAAATATGAGGCTCAGATGTGTGAATTCTGATTTGTTCTCTCATTCTCAACTCCACTAGCAAAATTAGTCACCTTATTCTATCAATGATTAAAGGATTTTTCAAAATGTATACATAATACAAGTACAACCCCATTTCCAAAAAAGTTGGGATGCTGTGCAAAATGTAAATTAAAACAAAATGCAATGATATGCAAATCATTTAAACCCTATATTTCATTGAAAATAGTACAAAGAAAACATATCAAATGTTGAAACTGAGAAATTTTATTGTTTTTTTTTTAAAAATATATGCCCATTTTGAATTTGATGCCAACAATACGTTCCAAAAAAGTTGGGACAGGGCAACAAAAGGCTGTAAAAGTTGTGTAATGCTAAAAAAAATTTACCTGGTAAATTGGCAACAGGTCAGTAACATGATTGAGTATAAACAGAGCATCTCAGAGAGGCTGAGTCTTTCAGGAGTTAATCCAGAAATGCTGCCACCTTCTCTGGGCCTGAGCTCATTTAAAATGGACAGTTGCACAGTTCAAAAACCAGTATTCATGATGGTATAGGGGTGCATTAGTGCACATGGCATGGGTGATGTGCACATCTGCGAAGGCACCATTAATGCTAAACAATATGTACATGTTTTGGAGCAACATATGCTGCCACCCAGATGACGTCTTTTTCATGGAAGGCCTTGATTATTCCAGCAAGACAATGTCGAACCACATTCTGCATGTATTACAACAGCAAGGCTCCGTATTAAAATAGTCCAGGCGCTAAACTGACCTTCCAGTCTAGACCTGTCACCCACTGAAAACATTCAATGTGTTACAAATTGGAAAATGCGACCAAGGTGACCCCGAACTGTTGAGCAGCTGAAATCCTATATCAAGCAAGAACGAGAACACATTTCACTTTCAAAACTACAGCATTTGCTCTCCTCAGTTCCCAAACGCTTACAGAGTGTTATTAAAAGAAGAGGTGACGAAACACAGTGGTAAAGATGCCCCCGTCCCAACTTTTTTGGAACGGGTTGTTGGCATCAAATTCAAAATGGGCATATATTTTTCAAAAAACAATACAATTTCTCAGTTTCAACATTTGATATGTTGTCTTTGTAGTATTTTCCTTTAAAAATATGGTTTACACAATTTGCATATTATTGCATCCTAATTATATTTACACTCTGCACACGTCCCAACTTTTTTGAAAATAGCGTTGTACATAATTAAATTACTAATATATAACAAAAGTCATTCAGAGTGTTTTAATGTGAAACGGTGCACTGTAGAGAAACTTACTGAGTACACATGTCTTCTGAGTTTTACTATGTAATGTTGATAATAGTGAAATAGTCATAAAAAAATGTTAAAAAAACAAGCTTTAGACAAAAATGTTACCTGAAAACTAAAATTTATCATTAAAACAAAGTCTCAGCCATTAGGGAACATATTTCTAACTACTTTGTGCAATAACTTTCTGTTAAGGGAGCTTTTAGAGGCTTTAAAAGCTTCAGACTTCTGGTTCCTATCACCACCACTGTGAACAATTCAGACTCGGTAAGTTTTTCTAGAATGGTGCATTTCACATCAGATCACTCTGATTGACTTTGTTTAAAATCTGTGGATTTCCCTTTAGAGGACAGACAATTACTATTGCATTAGGATGTCAGAGATGCATTTAAACTGTATATAAAAGCCTTTCTTTATATGGGCATTTACCTCATACAGGAAATTATTGGGAAATTATTTGCAGTAATGACTAAAGGAAATCTGGCCAGAAAAGAGTGTTTAATATCTCAAATGCTGAAAGAAGAGTCCTGGGACCACAGATAGGATTTATATGTTTCACTTCCCCTGCAAGACACCATTTTTTTTTTTTTTATCATGTCTTACTTTCCTTATCTGGCCATAATTTACTGCTGTGGCTGTTCAGTCTAACCAAACACAAACACTGGGCTGTTGTGGTATGTTGACTGACTCAGCTAGCAGTGAGTGACTGGGGTAGTTGAGTCGCTTTGCTTATGTAGTCCTTGTTAGGTTGTGGAGTAGAGGCTAGATAAATGCTAGATATATAAAAGGCTAGATATAGGCTCCGACCCCCACCCCACACACACATTCCTTAATCACAGGACACTTCTTACTTATCACTGCCACTGGCCAGCTCCGCCTTCCATAGCCTGGGAAATCATACAACATGAATGAGGGAGGGCAAGCTGGATATCATCTTTGGCACTCTCTGGAGTCAGTAAGGCAAAGCTCAGAGCAAGGCAGAGATTTCAGCAGAGAGCAGGAGCACCAAATACCACTTTCTTATGGAAAAATAGATTCCATCAAATGAAGGAATGAAGGAAGGACCTGGGTAGACCATGATGAGGGGCTCTCTTCAGCTGTTTAGTAAGTAATGTCATTTATCAGTTTTGTCTACACTGCTTTACTAGGATTTAAACTCACTTCAATCAGTTTGTAAACTTCTAAGTACCAAATACTGAAGCTAATTTTGCTAACGTAAATTTAAAGGTGATTCAAAGGTGTGTTAAAGGGCCCATATCCTACATTTTTCTTGTATTTGATCTTTTTCCCTGAGGTCCACCTATGACATCTGTGTAATTCTGTGTAGCAAAAATAGTCGTAGTTCTTTTCACCTGACCATTTTTCCATCCCCTTTATTTCTTAGAATTAAACAGGCTGTTTTTGTTACTGTGCCTTGTCGACTGATGTAAATTATATTTTCATAGTATAACCATATTTTGACTATATGTGAATTAACTTTGCTCTGATTCGCTGCCCTGTACTGTGCTTCATTCAGAAAGCAGTCTGGGCCAAAACATTGTAACTTCAGTATGAATGGGTTGGGCCACATTGCTGTTGGTTGAATAGGTGGATATATGTAAATGTGTTGTTGTTTGTGACATCACAAAAATGCTGAATTCAAAACAGACTGTTTTTGCAGTTTATACAAACTGAGGAGTGAATTGCATGTGTTGAAACTTTAACATTGTCTACATATTACCTCAAAATTGAAAAAGTGGAGTTAATTCAGTTTTCTATGGACCCCTTTAATGATGCTTACTGACCCAATTAAACCAAGTCATTAACTATGGATGACAAAGGATGATCTATTTTGGATTTCTATTAATGAGCACTTCTACTTCTATATCTGTCCTCCTCATGCAGGGATCATGAATGTAGGTTGGAATAATGGGAAATGTTGTTCGTGGAGCTGCAGCCTTCATCCCGTCAGACAGATGTCAGAGATACTTGGTGGGGGACTTAAAGGAGATGCCCCTCGACTGTACTTTAGACCTGAGCAGTCACCAGCTGCGTCGCTTTCCCATTAGAGCATGTGCCTTCAGCGAACTTGTTAAACTTTACCTGAGTGATAACCACCTGAGCAGTCTGCCTCCTGAGCTCCACAGCCTCCAAAAGCTTCAGCTTCTGGCTCTGGACTTCAACTGCTTCGAGGAGTTGCCTTCGGTTGTTTGCGACCTTAGGCAGCTCAACATCCTCTACCTCGGCAATAATCGACTTTACAAACTGCCGAAGGAGCTGGCTCAGCTGACTGAACTAAAGACGCTGTGGTTGGAGACCAACTGCTTCATGAAGTTCCCATGTGTTGTATGTAAGCTTCCCAACCTCAAGACCCTTCATCTGGGCTACAATCAGTTTCGTAGCTTGCCGGGTGAGCTGGTTAGGTTAAATGAGCTGCGAAGCATCTGGCTAGCAGGAAATATGCTGAATGAATTTCCACCAGTGTTCCTAGAAATGCACTATTTGGAAGTGATTGACGTAGACAGGAACCGCATACGCCGTTTTCCAGCTCTTACCCACTTGAGGGGACTGAAGCTGGTCATCTATGACCATAACCCTTGCGTTAATGCACCATCAGTAGGGGAGGGTGTGAGGCGGGTGGGTCGGTGGGCTGACAGCTCTGAAGATGAAAATGATGAATCTGAGGTAAAGCTAGCTGAGGTGTCCATAGAGGTGAGAGGACAGATCCCAGAGAGTGAGTGATGTGAATGCTACAAGTACTAGGGTGTATACAATGCCTTTAGTCACACTGTATCTCACAATATGATATGCAAGCAGTAAGACACTGACCATTAATACTCAAATATCAATTCTATATGTGGTATTATAACAGGTACTTCCTAATGCAACAATATTATTGTTTAATTAAAATGTTTCATCTGGAACAGTGAAAAAATCAGAACAACAGCAGCTTCCATTGTAGTAAATAAAGACGTATTAAATATCAGTAACTTGTTTGGGTTCCTCTTATTTGCATTGCCTTGATTTCAGAAACAAACTAACTATTGCTGGTTGGTTCACTTGAAAAAGATAATGTATTTCAATGATGGATTGTTAAATTCCAACAATGTACCTCATCTCCTCAATTATGCATGTTTCATGTGACAGATTTGGGTCTCCATTTTGATGTAAGACCTTTAATAGGTTTTTATCATCATTCTTGCTGCTCCAGGTCTGTGGTAGAGCAAACTGCTGAACAGATACTGTTCTCTGCACAGTTATGAATGACCCTCTTTAAATGATGTGTTTACACTTGTTAAAATACATGAAGAGGTTTCACTGATACTGTTCAAGAGGGTTTACTGTATGCATCAATGTTTGTGATTAATGTCTCAAAATCTCATCATGACTATGTGAAGTGTGTTGTTCTCTGTCTCTCTCTCTCTCTCTCTCTCTCTTTCTCTCTCTCTCTCTCACACACACACACACTTAAAGAGAAACAGAAGACATTCCAACCTTTAGTATCAAATTCTAGTTCTTGAAGACTTTGAAAATAGACTGTTCTTGAATACCTCAGAAGTCAACGTCAAAATGAATAGGAAACCACAAAACATTTTCCTTCTGTACCGTGACATATTTCTGCATGAAATGCTGTAACAGGAAGAGTCTCTGAGCTAGCAGAGCATGTTATCTCAATGATAAGTGTAGGTGGTGAGAATTGGATGATGATGATGATTGTTATTATTATTATTATTAATATATAATAATAATAATAATAATAATAATAATTTTAAGGTGCTGTCAAGTTGAGTCTGACTCTTGGCAACCAAATACATAATGTTTCTCCACAATATCCTGTCTTCTGTCTGCGTTAATAATGATATTAGTATTTAACATTATTTTTCCCACCCGCTGGTGCATGGTGATGTAACCAAGACACTGAAGATGTTTTAGAGATGGGCTAAAGTCCCAACACTTTGATTAAAGGTTACAAGAAAAAAAGAATTGTGACTTTGAAATGAAATGGAATTATTAGTTGTGCTTAATATGACCAGGGGCGAACTAACAAAGAAAAAACACCTGTTTTGATTTCATACGACCTCCCACAGAGTCACCGTTGGGATTAAACAGAAGAAGCCTGAAAAGCCCTGATGGCAGCACGCTGGGTAACAACAAAGTTCGAGCGAAAGTTTCTCTTTGATGGTGGTAGCAAAACACATTGGTCTTTTAAAATTTTTTTTTTTTTTATAAAGGATAATTACTGGATATTTACAGTGCGAACCTTGCGAACAGTGAAAGAACAAGCAAACAGCGAGTTGGGTCTTTTATTATGGAGGGCGTATTTCAGGCCACCGGCGCTTCCTTCACGCAGCTTGAGCGAGTTTCATTTTGCGGCTAGCTGGGCTCCATTACCGCACAGCGCCTTCACAGACCGTCACAGTGATGGGAAAGAAAACCCGGACGGGGACGGGCCGGCGGACAATCCTGCAGCTTTCTCCACCAGGACCTCGCAGTGGAACCGGAGTAGGAAGAGAAGAAGCGTTAGCTTCTGGGTCCGAAGGTCAGAAAATGTTCTTGTTATGTTTTAAAGCTCATTTCATTTGACAGGCCCAGTAAATCTAACATTATGTAAGCTACTTAGTTAGCTCGACTGAGGTCTCCGTGCCTTTCGGCCTCGCCCAGGCCAAAAAGATTTACAGCTAACCTCGTCAGCTTTTACCGACAACGTATCACGGTAGCCAAGTATGTTGAGTAACGTTAGCTAGCTAACTGAATAAGCGTGGTACATTCACAGTAATTAGTTTACTGAACTAATACAACTAACCTACGGTGTTTAAATTCACGTTGAACAGGACTGAGTTGAGTCACTGTGAAACAGGAAGCTAACGTTAGAGGGGGGATATCAAGCTAACCTAGCTAGGTTAACCTAAGTAACTGTTAACGTTAGCACTAAAATGGACTTCTAAAACGAGATAGCTTCAGACAACTAGCAGGGGATTTTGTCGTTTTGTTTATTCAAGCGGTAGTTAGCTACGCTGTTTAGCTCCGCAAAAAATCACTGGTATAACTTTGCTAGCTAGCAAAGTAACGTTAGCTTTAATGTGGGTCGGCTCGCTAACAAAAGGTTTGTAAGTTAAGCGGAGTTTGTTAGCGCACACTGCACGGGGCTGCAGCGTTCAGCGCAAAGCACACCACTCACTTAATCAGTAGAGGTACACAATATGGCAAAAATACTTAGACATTTTTATTGATTAACGGTGTGCATCGCTATATTCCGTTTTCCTGAAGTTTGATAAGGTGGAACTGACCAAACAGAACCATAAGTGCCACATTAAAAATACTGTCAAAAATTGAACGCAGCATTTTTTGTTCTATGTCTTCTATACGACACCACAACTTAATAGTAGGGGTAAATAATTTGCAGAAAGTACCTGATTGAGGTTTTTCTGACCTGTATTTGGATTGAAATTATTTTCTATAAATTAAGCTTCAGGACTTATTTTTTTTTTTATTTGTGTGTTTGTTTATTTTTGGCAAAGAACACCAGCGTATCTGCTTTTCAGGCTTGAGGCTTGAACGCTGAACATAGTGTGCCAAACTGTCAGTTAGTTGTGGTTGTGTTGTCCGGTACGTAGCACATGGATGTTTAGTTGCTTCTGACTGCTCGTGTTTAGCTGATCTAAGGGCAGCTCACAAGCTCTTTGTTATTGGGTTAAAATTCCCCTCTTAACACTTGTGAAGACATTGGGCCTCATTTACTAATATCTTCCTATGTTTTTTCTGAAGTTTGTTATTATGAAAAGTCCTAAAAAAATGTACATCAGATTTACATGTTCTTAAACAGAGCACAAAGGTACAGAACGGTTCGCACCTTTGTGCTCTTGAGTGTGTGTAGATTCTGTTCCTACCTAAGAACAAATCCCAAATAAGAAAACATTGGTGAATGTCAGAATTTTCATGAAAACCGTGTAAGTGGGTTTTGCAGGTTTAATGATATGAAATAATGGCTTTTTGTGATTTTTATATAGAAATGATAAGTCTTTAAGCCCTATTAACTTATATGCTTTTTTTGATGAAAAATACAGTTAATCATTGTTCTTGAAGTACTGACGATATCCACAAATAAGTTCTTAAAAGCATATTGTGATCTAATGTGACTCCCTACTGGCTAGGCAGGCGATGTCTTAGCAAATTACTGCGTTGTATTTCTCTGATGTGTCAGTACATTTGATAAATGTTAATGTTAGTGTAGTGTTAGCTGTATCATAGCTCTTGGAAGTTCATTGGTAAGATTCTGCGTGTTTATTAATTATTTTAATATTTTGCAGAGGAGCCGGAGGGTAACACCGACGACCACAGTGAACTGAACATCAGAATGAAAATGCCAGCTGTGAAGGCAACACGTACGTCAAGTGTCTTATACATACAATGCCTACTTCTGGTGGTCAATGTTATGTTTATCATTTTAACTAAGTAGAGTCTGGAGTCTGAATTTATTTTTCATAGGAAGAGTTCTGTTAGCATGAGGTCAAGTTCGTTGTGTTTGTTTTGTAGAGGGCTTATCATTGCTGGGTGCCTATGAGGATAGTGAGGAGGAAGATGCATCTGAAACCAGTTCTACCACAAAGGGAAAGCACAACCGGTCTGCCGACATTGACAGTACCCTTGCCAGTTTCATGGCTGTAAGTATGCTTTATTTGCTTTAATAGTCATTCAGTGGTTGACATTTGTATTTATATATTGTTGTTTTCTCTGCATTAGATCTCTTTAGTGGAAATTTTAATTATATGAGCTTTTTTAAAATATTCACACTGTTTTCCCACTTTCTTACTGTAATGACTAGATGATACCGATTAAGTATCTGTTGATAACTCCCCTCACCCTTTCCTTCTGTTGCAGGAAATTGATGCTATCACCACTCAACCCCCCCAGACTGATGATTCTACGCCCAGTGCTCCTGCACCTACCCCGCCACGTCCTGAACCCAAGATAGAACCACAGGCCCATGTTCAGAATGGCTCAACACAAGAATTTCAGTATAACACACAGTATTCCTTGGCAGGAGGTGGGTTTTCTAGTGTGCTTTTCTCAATTAAGAGTATGTCCAATTTGTTAGTAGTTGCTTAATGGTGGTTATCATTAAAGTGGTACATGCATTGTAGTATGAATACTTGATTATACAGTTCAAGTGTGCAACTTATTGTATTGGATAGAGCAGTGTATTTAACTCTGTAAACGAAATAAAACATTTGTATTGGCTAAATACTGGTTTTTCCTATAACAATACTGTAGTCTGTTAGGAAGAGGTAAATAGCAAGCCTGAAGTAAACTTTTAATTTTGTTTTACTTTAGCTGGGCTTGAGATGGGCGATTGGCAGGAGGTGTGGGATGAGAACACAGGCTGCTACTACTATTGGAACACCCAGACTAATGAGGTTGTGTGGGAGCTCCCCCACTACCTGGCAGACCAGATGCAGAGTCTTCAGCAGTACACAGACAGGTGAGTTTTGACTAAGACGTCAGTTAAGCAAACAAAACATTTAATTTGATAATCATTTATTCTCCATAGCCATTTGGGAAAATGTCTATATTCAGATTATTGAAAACATATGCTGCAGAAAGATCTATTGGAAAATTGTCAGACACCGCCTTTGTTTCAGCTGAATGTTTTATGTTCCACAGTTCATCTGTCAACGGCAGTGGCGTGTCGCATCATACAGATGGTCATCCTGAACAGCATTCTGCTTTGTCTACTACTGCATCTAAGAAGGAACCAAAGAAGAAGGCATGTTTTAAATTTTTACTTCATGTCCATGTCAATAGTATTATAACTTGATATTTATATATATATTGTATGTACATTTGTTGTTTACAGTTTGGTTGTGCTTTGGTGGTTAATAATTCCCAGTTCTGTGCTGTTACACAGGAGGTGATTGAGAGTGTGGTGGCTTTAATTAGTGATGAGGAGGAGAGGAGAGGGGTGGCTGCCTCTCTCCTTGCACCCCTCTTACCACCTGAAGTGAAAGAGGTAGAAGAGAAATGGAGGAAGAAGGTTCTGGCCATGGAGGAGAATGTGGAAAATACTCCAGAGATCGAGGGTGATGTTCCTCACTCTTCAGACTCCCCTGCTGTTGGTGATGTAGAAAGCCCTGCTCACTGTAACCAACACAGTAGGAACCACTCTGTTGAAAACTCTGATGGAGAAGAGGAGACAGAGGAGGATACCATGGAACTGGAGCTTGCGTTAGAGAGGAAAAAGGTACCAGACCAATCAGACTTTGTTCACAATTACTAGGGACTGCATGTGTATACTTATTCAGTTTTTATATGGCAGGGCAAATACTTAATCTCTTGTCACCGCAGGCGGAGCTTCGTGCATTGGAGGAAGGTGATGTCAGTGCTGGTGGTTCCAGTCCCTGTTCTGAGGCCAGTCAGGAGGGCTCTCGGGGTCTCTCGTTGAAGAAGACAAAGTGGAAAACGGCTTTTCTTCGCGCTCAAAGCCCTGACTCAAACAGCAGAGGCTCTGATAAGGCAGGATGTGACACGTTGGAAGATTTAGATGCGGGTAGGAAGCACCACACAGGAAAAACACATGATTTACACTCGACAATTTAATGGTTGTTTTAGTGTTCAATTTGCATAATGTCCACAACATATTCATTTTTTTAACATGTATTTCATGTTATACCATAGTCATACCATGCATAGCTACTATATAAGTTTTTAAATTTGTGCATTTTTGGGTTTTTTTTTCCCAGTACATTCCAGAATAGCTGACAAGCAAGGGGACAAAGAAAAAGAGGAAAAGGACAAGACTGTGCCCAAAGCCCCAGAGGAGGAAACTCCAGACCTCAAAGTAATGCTAACATATAGCAAAATTTCACATAATAGTAAATGTTGATTAAAAAGAAAGTTCAGAGAATTGCAGTAAGCTTTTCTGATTATTAACAAGTTGCAGCACAGTTGAGTAAAATCACACTTTAATTTTGCTTTAATTAGTTTCAGATCGGAGAGCTTGCAAATACATTAACCAGCAAAATGGAGTTCCTGGGAATCAACAAAAAGGCCATCTCTAACTTTCAACTGCTCTTGTTACAAACGGAGGTAAGTCTGTAATATTGCAGTTTTCTGTGACCTCAACAAGAGTACTTCAGCTGAATGAGTTTTACATATCCCATAACCTAATGTTTTAGGAGTTTATATTGCCTGTGCAAGTAATTGCACTGAAATGTGATTGAAAGAACAAAGATTATTGTTGTGCTCCGTGAAACATAGAAAGTAGATTACTGCAGGTGTATAAATAAAAAAATCTGAATAAAAATGGAGTGAAAGAGCGCTGCTGAAAAGTCTAATAAAAATATATATTTCATTAAATAGAGTGCAAAAATAAAGAGTTTTGTGTAAACCTTGGTTTGTGTTAGGCTTTTATTTATTTATTTATTTATTTTAAAGATTTGTCTGACTTTTCATCAGTGCGTGGGCAACACTCATTTTATTTCAGTGAATTAAATGACCACAGAATTGTGATGAGCTGTTTTTATTGTCTCCTTTTGTGTATGATGCTCCAAACCAGTCAAATTCAATTTGATGTCATTGCAGAGTTCATGATTTCTAAAATTTCTGAGACTGCATGTACTGTGAATTCTAATTTTCACATTTGGTTTTCTATCTTCTTTAGACACGGATAGCAGACTGGCGAGAGGGTGCACTGAATGGAAATTATCTCCGTCGCAGGTTGCAGGAAGCCGCTGAGCACATAAAACATTACGAACTTAACGCCACTCCCAAGGGCTGGTCCTGCCACTGGGACAGGTACGCGCTCCTTACCTTTCACATCTTTATCACGCCACCCCCTCCCTTAAAAAATAAAAAAAACAAACAAACTCTTAACTCCCATCCCACTCATGTGATGATTGACTACATTACCTCTGCTACATGGCAAATATCTGACTGGTTCATGTAGTGTTGGGGAATATCACCAAACGAGGAGAAAGACAGTTATGGTATAAGGGAGCATCTGTAAAGAGCCAGCCTGACAGCAACAGAGCCCCAAAGAGATGAGCCCAGTCACCCCAAAATCAGACAGAAGGGTTCATTAGCTCTTAGGAAGGTGCTTGCGCGTGCAAGAGCTTTGAACTTTACAGGACTGGCCCAAAATGATGGGAGAATGAGTGACACAGAGTGACTACATGGAAGCAGCGTGTCACACAAGCATCAGTTAAAGCGAAGACGGTGCCTTTCCCTTGGAGCCTGAAGGTCAGACCAATCTATTTTGTTTACTGTTTTCTTTTCCATGCACCATTTGATGATTGTATAAATGCTTTTCCTTTTACCCTCTACTGAAGATGTCTTAGGGCATCTCGGGTGGGTTTTTTCTGTGTGAGTATTGCTGTGGTTGTTGTTGTTGTTGTTCAATAAACTTTACAGGTTTTGCTATAATTTTTTGGTTTGTTTTTGAGAATAAGGTGGGTCCATCACCAGTGTCCCCACTTCCAATCTGGCTCCTCTCCTGGGCTTAAAGCGAAGCCCAACTCAACTTGCCCCAATGGGGAACTAGAGACCCCCTACTTCTTTTTAAGTCTCCATGGGTCTCATGTTCTTAAGCTCAGTTTAGAAACCAGTTGGTAAGACCTTGTTGTGTGTTTGTTTCTCCACCTCTAGAGATCACAGGCGGTACTTCTATGTGAATGACCGGACGAGTGCCTCCCAGTGGGAATTTCCAGTAGTGGAGGAAGAAGAGGATGCCAAGGCTCCTGAACCTGCTGTAGCTGTCCAAGGAAATGCAGGTCATCTGCCTGCTGAGGTTTCCAGTGGTCTAGTAGGTAGGCATCTGTTAAAGAACTTTACAGTACCCAGAACAGTATGGGTATCATGTTTGATGTAATGTGCCCAATATTGAAGGCGTTGATGAACAGCAGCTGGTAAAAGGTAACGAGCACGTGTTTATTTCAGCAGGAGCATCGTTTGGAGAAAGCCAGGCCTACTGGTCTGTTCATCAACCTCCACTTCCTCCAGAAACTCCACCTCCTCCTGTAGAGCAACCTCCTCCACCGCCACCACCACCAGAATCACCTCCTCCACCCCCTCCCCCACCCCTCAGTGACGATGGGGAGATTGAGGAAGTAGAGATGGAAGATGAGGATGCTGAGCCACCTGCTCCTGGAACTGAAGAATTCAAGGTTTGTGTTCAGTTTTACTAAGTATAATATATGTGCTCTTTTTTATGGAAGGGAGTTTTCCTTTTTATTGCAGTGTTACATTTGGGCTTAAGCATTTGTCTTCCCCAGGCCAGTGAAGCAGCAGCAGCAGCAGCAGCAGCAGCAGCCCAAGGAGCCACAGCTAAAGCTCAGAAGCGGAAAGCTCTGGGCTCAGCACAGCCAAACAAGACCATCACTATTGGGAGCAGTCCCATACTTTATACCCAACCAACTGCCAGCTCAGGTGAGGGACGAGGCTTGCAAAAATGCACCTCGTCAAAGAATTGCTTGCCTTGAATTTTGAGTATTTATTCCTTTGCCACTTCATCCAATTATGAATGATTTCATGTTCTCACAGTCCCTGTGATGGCTGGAAATGCTTACTGGGGAATTCCAGCAGTAGCTGTACCCCCTCTGCCATCAGAGAACTTAGCTCCACCAGTGCCAGCCCCACCCTCTCAACCTCCACCGCCAGCACCTCAGCCCCCAAGTGACCCACCGTCTGGGAAAATGCTTGTGGACAAAACTAAAAAGCTAAAGAAAGAGAAGGTGCGTTGTTGAGTTTGCCTGTCTTGTTCTGTCTCTCTTCTGTGTTTTAAAATGTTGAAGAGGGTGTATCAGATCATTTTGTTTTTTGTACAGTAGCCCCAAATGTGAATAATATTTATGAATGAACACTAACTGTACTTTCTCTGTTGACTCGGGCAGATGAGATTTCAGTGCCGATGAAAAGCTTGCGAAAACAAATATTAAATTCCACCCCCCCCCCATTTTTGTTCTTAGATGAAAAAGAGTAAGACAAAAATGCCGTCTCTGGTGAAAAAATGGCAGAGCATTCAAAGAGAACTGGATGAAGAGGAGAAGTCAAGTTCTAGTGATGAAGATCGAGACCAGCTGAACAACAGGCGCATTGAAGAGTGGAAACAGCAACAGCTTTCCTCGTAAGTCTGTTAAAGAGGAGTGAGATTCGATACTTTTTAAAATCTATTGAATGTACAATTACAGTGTTGTTAATCTTAAATTTGCAGAGGAAAGGCAGTAAAGAATGCCAACTTTGAAGCCCTTCCTGATGACTGGAGGGAGAGGCTGCTGAAGAAGAGGAAGATGATGCAGAGTTCATAACATCTGTAATGCACAACTCGCACATGGTCACTTCAAACACTTCCATCTGCAGTGGTCCGTCTTTGACTGCATCTTTCTTCTTTCATCCTGGTCCCGTAGGATGAATTAGAGCAAACTGAATGAATGTGTTTTTTTTTGTTTTTTTTTTTGTTTTGTTTTTTTTTTTAAATATATGCACAAATATTGCCATCTTCTTACCTTCAAGTCCTTTGTAACACTTTCATTGAAAAGACAAAGTTTTCTGTAAAAAGGTGTTAAACAAGATGTCTTTCTGCTTACTGGCTTTTGTAAAGTGGCCCCTGAGTGTAAATAGAATTTGTATTTCATATTGTTTACATGTAGACCCTTTACGCTAATCAAAAATGTCAAAACATTCATTCTCAAAACTGCCTTCCTTTTTTTGTTTCAGCATGGTTTGACTTTGAGACTAATGGTCGATATGGACTATGTCTGTTTTTGTGATGGGGATAGTTACTTTTGGGAATCTTGAGCCTTAAATCTCAAGATTGTTCACTGTGGAAATTAAGGGATTTTCCAAAAATGGACACTGATGTCTAGGAGATGCAGCCCTGGTGATCTAGAGTATTTTTACCAACTTGAACCTAAAGAGTAGTACACATTTGTGGAGGGGACATTTAAGAACCACTGTGCAAACAGGTTTTCTCCACCACTTTTGTCTTAGAATGTATGTGATGAAGCTATATGAACAATGACAATAACTTAATTTCTGTGGTTATAAATTATTTAGGTTCCCAAAGAGAGAACTATAGCCTGCTCACTCTAGTGTTGAGATCTTGTGCTCATTTGACTAGATGAAATGACCATGCTGGCTGCAACCATTCCACTCTAATTCTTCATAAGTGGACTAACGGTGCATCATTTTCTCAGTTGAATCTGCATGGAGACAAGTCAGCTCTGTGAATGTGCCAACTGCTTCAGTTTTCCTCAACACATCTCAACGTTTATCTGTTTTACTGCAGTGTTACTTATACATCTCTCACTGGAGTGTTCTGTGTAGTTGTATACTTGACAGGAATGGGGGCCAGTGAAGTTTTCTATGTTGTAAATAATGAATAAACTTTTTTCCATCTGTACAGATTATAAATTGTTTAGCCGTTTTGAAAAGCGTTACTGGAAACTACAGATCTACAAATATTTGCTTTTTATAATAAAAAGTGTCTGAAGGATTTTTGAAATGGTAGACCGTGCCAGTTTATTAGAAATGAGAGACAGTTCCACAGCAAGGGTTGTTCAAGGTTTTAGATAAGAAATTAATGGTAAATAACTATGATGTGTTCAAATTGAACTGAACTTTCAGTCTGAAGCTAATTTGTGTTGTTTTAACCAACTACCATCCTACTGTAAATGGGCTAATAATGTGACCCAAATTTAGCTCTTTATAATCTGTGAGCAAAATTAGATTAACAGAAGACGCAACTATATGAAAGAGTAGGCATTTAACACATTTCTAGTGTTGGACGATTTATAACGGGGAATGCTGTTATCGGTTTAATTTAAAAAAAAAAAAACCTTTTGATCAGATACCTATAGAAATTCTGGTCAAAAGCAGCACATAAAGCTTATTAAAACTACATAACGTTATTTTGGAGCACAACAGTCTCCCTGTTAAGAAATTAAAGTTGAAAATAGTTCGGAGCCGGTCTTACAGTAGACTGCGTTTCATTAGGTATATTAACCTTTTCCCGTCCTTACCTGGAGTTATTATTTCATCTCGATTAAAATAAAACGGGGAGGTGTTTTACAGTGGTGGTGATAGAAACAAGGACCAGGAGACCTGATGTCTACATCGCAAATACAGCCACTTTAATTACTTCCCAAGACCGCCAGTGAACCTATACGTGTCTCCTGAGTTATGTATGTAATGGTGAAAAATCTGAAAAAAAAAAAAAATTGTGGACTGTTTTACCTATGAACACCCTGCATGTATCCCTCCACCGTAAATGGATTCAAATTTGATTAAAATTTGTTTTGGACCAAAACTTAATCATAATACTGCTGCAAAATACTGTCTCAGACATCAGGCTGAGCATTTATAACCATTTCATGCAATGAATTTCTGTGAGGGAGGTTTAGGGGCATTAAATTCTTCAGACGTCTGGTTCCTATCACCACCACTGTGAGCAAAACTGTAAGTTTCTCTAGAACAGCGTTTCACACGAAACCACACTGATTTCCCTTTTTGACTTGTTAACCACTTAATTATGCAGAAATGTAGAAAAAAATGGTGGCGTCCCACTTTAAGGATTTTGTGCAATCATTGTGGCTTTCACGGAAAGTGCACTTGGTATCCATAGTAACGACGGCACAACGACGTCCGTTGCCTAGCAACTACGATACGATTGATACATGCAGTATGCCACCTTGTTAGCCAGTACGCCAACGTTAAGCCAAACAAAGTCAGCGTAAAATATTTTTTCCGCGTCATTAGTTGTTTTTTTTTTCTTTTTCTGTTGTTAAACGTTAGCTAAGCTACATGTCAGTGTAAGCAGCTCACCATGGACAAGTCGTGAAAGCTCTTTGAAAAGTTAGTTATCGAGCTGACGTTACTTCGCTGTAAGTTAACGCACATCTTCAACTGGCTGGCGAACATTAGCTACGCTAGCTAAGCTAACCAAGATGGAGTGAACTAGTTTATATCTTGCATTGAAATTCATGCTTATAAACGGGGCGATGAAATGCAGGTAAGTGGACTTTTTAAACTACGTGTCATCTCTACAGATGTTCTTAAGATACAAAACTCATTATCTATCATTATTTCAGTAATAGCGTACATATATGTGTATGTCTGTATGCATTATATTATATGCTATTATAGTAAGTTATGTAGGTTAACGCTAACTTAGTAACAGGTTGTGCTTCACTGTAGCTTATCAGGTTTGCCTGTTTTGCATGTTTCAGTCTAGTGGTTTTAAAAGATAATTCTGTTCATTCCCTTGTTCATTCTTTCCTCCATATGTAACTTAAACTTCTGATTTCCTGTTTTCTTTTTATTGATAATGTTAAAAGACCCTAGATGATCCCTATGAGAAATTTATTCTGCAACACTTGAAGCATTATGGACTTTTTACTGGTGAGTCTATGCTCTTTTTCCAACATGCCATTAGAATTCTTGCTTCAATGAAAAGCAGCAATATGATTTACAGACTGTTATGGTGAAGTATCTGAGTTAAAGTCAGAGCACATTTGTCCTTTTTAGTCTCTGTTAAAAGTGTAAAATTCAGTACTTCACATTTAGCAATTTAACATGTGATAGGAGTACTACCTTGAGCACTTAAATGAATATTAATTTTGGTCTCTAGGCCAGGGTTCATCATCTATTCAGACAAAAGTCTCAACCCGTAGGACGTGGGAACGCACCCATGACTCTTTGGTCACAGATGCCATCCATTTACCTGTCGACAGCATAAACTTGGAGGAAGAGCCAGAACCACATCAGGGACAAGTGTAAGTTTTGTTGCTGTTTTTGCGTGTTTTGCATTACATTAACAGTTTCCCAATATTTTCGCACATCTCAGCTCCACACATCTCAACTGACATCTTATCTCAGTTTATTTAAACAATATGTTTAACAACATTTTCAGCATGTATGTCATTCATCACTTTACACTGAGTTTACCACACCTTGAAGTTAGCAATGCAGATGGTTATGCGGTACTGTAACATTTCTACATAAGATTTCTTTAATAATGATATAATATTTGTTAAGACATTTATTTTAAGTCATTTGACTGTTATGAATTTTCACACATTTCCTTCTCTGTATCTTTCACAGGTTAGTAATAGGTATTTGTTTCATCAACTGTTCAATCATTTATAAAATTATTCATTGTGCATTCTTTTATTGTTACCAAACAACTGTTGTATTGACCTGGTAGGTCATAGCCTACATTACATTTGAGTCATTTAACCAATTCTCGGTTGGAATTTACTGCCTTTATAAAAAATTCAGACACTTACAACCTGTAACTGTTTAAGGGAAGACGAACCAGTGAAGTAAGTGTAGACTGCCTCTCAATTACACAGTTAATTCACTAGTTAAGCAATAAGTGCTGACTCTTCTTCTCAGATTTCTTCTCTTTCTTCCAGTATGTGTGTTCCAGTGTGAACTGTGTGGTGTTGGATGGCTTGATTGATACATTTTTTTCACTTTATTTTTGTTTTTACTTTGTACTTTCTAGTCTCTTTCAATGTGGAGAAATATCTCAGGACCAGGCAGCTGCTATTTGATTTTGAAGGTGGACGGCCTATCCCTCGCCTGAGGGAACCGTTGGACCTCTTTACTATCCCCTCCACCTCCAGTCCCTTCCAGGGTGTTCGCTGGCCTGTTGAATGCGAAGTCATCTGTGACAAAATCCATCACATAGGTATCTGTTCCTTCCTGGTACATTAACATTTTTGATTCATACTTTGTCCCAAAGGGATACAGCTTCTTAATTTCAGCAATTTAGTCACATTTATTATGTACTACTGAGCATGCAGCGGAAAGGACTTACTTCCCCTAATTGTCCACCTATGTGTTGGTATAGAATGGGACCCTCCTGAACCAGAGCCATTTTACCAACAGACAGGCCATGAGCGCACCCCAATGCCAGTTGGAGAAGAAAAAGGAAATACTGTCTACTGTATAGACTCAGGTAAGATGAAAGTTTTCATTTTTGAACTTACTTTGTTCTTCAGTGTAATGGCTTTGAAACCACTATTTATAAAAGTATAGCCTTCTTATGTGACTGTTTACTGAATGGCCATTTATAATTTGTTTACCTCATACTTTACCAACTGCTGTAGTTTGAAAACACTAAAAGACTTTCTGAGACTGTCAATCATAAAACTGTCCCTATTTTTTCCATTTGTTTGTTAAGCCACAAAAACATTGTACTTCACACGCTCTCGTGTTGGTGGAGGCAGAGAGCCTAAAAAGGGGGCCACATCTTGTGCCAACAGCCAGGCAACATCCACCCTGTCCTTCGAGTCTCGGTTCGAGAGTGGTAATCTTCAAAAAGCAGTTCAAGTGTAAGTGGGCCACACCAATACCTCCAACACTTTGTATTCACCACAGTGTTTGCGCATATCACTAGGTTTTCAGGTGAGGCAAATGAAGTAGTGATGCACCGATATGGGAATTGTGGGCCGATTCCAGTGTACAATATTTTTATGTACATACCTGCCAATGCTGATGCCAATATATACAAATGTGTATATACTTAGCATTAATGTTTATTAGCATTTATTTCTGTATTTCTGATTAGTTTTATGAATAAAGCTTTAAGTAAAAGGTAAAGAACAGCAATATTTTGTCATCTTAGGTTTACTGAAAAACTGTTTTCAGTCTGCATTTCCTAGGCCAGTACAGTTCATGAAGAATGTTCAATATTATAACATAATTTCAAGAAATGTACACAAACCTGACTGGCAAAAAAAACTTAGCAGGAATACTGTAATTCTGCTCTGTTATCTCCATGTAGTTGTGATTTATTAGGAGAAAACAATCAATTTACTCAACGTGAGATGATGCCATTTCAGATGAACATTTCCTCATTAAACTACCTCACAGGTAGTGCTATGTCAGCACTGTTTAGAGTCTCCTGATTTTTTTGTTGTTGAGAATTTCATTCTAATGTTACTGTGAATCTAAAGTGTAATGAGTGTTTTTTTCTTTTTTAGTGGTGTGTATGATTATGAGCTCACTTTGTGCAATGACATGTACACCACAAAACATACGCAGTGGTTCTACTTCCGTGTGAGGAACATGAAGGCAGGTGTCACCTATCGTTTCACTATTATCAACCTGATGAAATCCAGTAGTTTGTATGAAGCAGGCATGCGCCCACTGCTGTACTCTGACCTTGCTGCATGGCTGAAGGGAGAAGGTTGGCGCCGTGTGGGCAGCAACATTCGGTGAGTTTAGATGGCTGTTAAGTTAGTGATCCATGGTGTAATGTAAGTAAAGTATACATACCTGCTGACACCCTGTCACATCTTCATGAAGGTATTACCGGAATGACAGTGAAAAGGGTGGAAAAACACTCTACTCCCTCACCTGGACACTTCAGTTTCCTTATGAAAATGACTCCTGTTACTTAGCCCACTGCTACCCGTACACCTATTCAGACCTCCAGTGCTACCTGGGTGGTGTGATTTCGGACCCGGCCCGGGCAGCTTACTGTAAGGTGCGGGTCCTGTGCCGCAGCCTGGCAGGAAACGCTGTGTACGCATTGACTATCACAGCACCCGGTGGTACCTGGCAAGAGCGAAGGAGCAAGCGAGCAGTGGTAGTGACAGCTCGAGTGCATCCAGGAGAGACTAATGGGTCATGGATGATGCAGGGCTTCCTGGATTTTCTGTTGGGAGACTCACCAGATGCACGGCTATTGAGGGAAACATTTGTCTTTAAGGTGAGTGAATGCAGTTTTGAGATCATTTGCTTCTGTAGCACCAAAAAAATAGCACAGTTTTTAAAAACAGGAGAATAAAGGCCAAAATGTACCATTTGCAGGTTGTGCCAATGCTGAACCCTGATGGTGTGGTAGTTGGAAACTATCGCTGTTCACTGACAGGTTGTGATCTAAACCGCAACTATCGCACTGTACTGCGGGACTCTTTCCCCTGTGTGTGGTACACTCGCAACATGGTGAAACGGTAAGGAAAGTGCTTTATGCACTTTTAATGCATGTCAATGAGTCAACATAGTCAACATAGTCAACACAGTCAGCGTAGTCAACTAATTTACCTTTAACTGTGTAGGTTGCTTGCTGAGAGAGAAGTAGTGCTTTATTGTGACTTTCATGGACACAGCAGGAAAAACAATGTGTTCATGTATGGTTGCAATGATCGTAAAGATGCTTCACTACATCTTCAAGAACGAATCTTTCCCCTGATGATGAGCAAGAATGCCAAAGACAAGGTGAGAAAATGATGGAGCTGTCTCGGTATGATAAATTAGGCTTAACTGATACCACTTAATTGGATTGATGTTGGTTGATACAGCTACATGAAGCACACTTTTTTGTTGTAGTTTTCTTTCAGAAGCTGTAAGTTCAAAATGCAGAAAAGCAAAGAAGGCACTGGCCGTATTGTGATGTGGAGGCTGGGCATCAGAAATAGTTATACTATGGAGTCCACCTTTGGAGGCTCCACTTTAGGTACGCACCTGAAGAAATACCCTGTGCATAATCTCAAAACTAAAAAATTCACACCTGGCTATTTTCTCTATGTCAAATCACTTCAGGCCTTAAGTTCAGTTCCAGTCATGGAAGGTCTCAACTTTGACTGTTCTTTGTCTCCTCTGTTTTTAAAGATCTGACAACTTTAAACTGGTTTCCATAAAAAGTCTTGTAAAATCTTAATAACAAAACAAAACATAAGGATATAAAATGTCTGAAATGTCTTATTTTTACTGTTGGAGGTATTAAATTTTAGTATCGTGCCTAAAGGCTGGTTTTAAAAGAGTCCATGTGTATTTTTTTTTTTTGCACCAGGACTTTACCAGAAACATGTCAATTTTGCTCGCTTTCTCCACAGCCATAGACACAGCCATAGTCATAGACCTGTACATACAAGAGACGTGGAACTGTTGTATGACATTACAGATTACTCTGTAAGTGAGAGCAAAATGGCTGTAAATTGCGATTGGTTAGCCAATATTTGATTTTAATAACATTTAAGGGGCTCATATCCTACATTTTTCTTATTTTTTTATTGTCTCCTTTGAGGTCCAGTTATAACATTTTTGTGCTTTTATATACCTGATTGGTCTGATTGGCTACCCTGTAATGTGCCTCATTAAAAAGCACTCAGAGCTAAAACACTCTTTTGCACTTCAATATGAATGGGCGGGGCTAAACTCCTGTAGGCTGAATAGGTGGAAAATAGTTGGTTCTTGTGACGTCACAGAAACCAAAATTGGCTGCTTTTGCAACACGGTTTCCATATATGGACTGTATGGACAGATTAATGAATGGTACGTTTTGAAACTTTTTACTTTAAACTCCTTTATTTCTAAAAAGCTGTTCTCCATGATATGTGCCATTTAATAATGTCTACCATTTTTAAACAAGTACCACTTTTTTAGATATGGCTGAAGCAGATTTAATAAAATGACAAAATCAAAAATAATGAAGTGGTGATACAACTTGGAGATGTTTCTGCGGCCCCTTTAACACCCCACTGCAGGGGCTTTAGGCCCTCAGTTTGAGAACCACTGGGCTAGAGGATGGCTAAACTGATAACAAAGTCAAAAGCACACTGAAAGACTGTAAGGAAAAGAGAGAGCAGTTAATGGGGCTAGATAGAGAAGTTGAGAAGAGGGCTAGTGACTGACATACATTAATTTAATAACATTAATGCATGCCGTATTTGAGTTTGCATGCGATGTTTTGGAAATTATTTTAGTTTTCCTTTTTTAAGTTCTAAAAAAGTATTAAAGTTCATGGAAATGACTTTAAAAATCTGTAGCAATCCTGTGTAACATTAAATTATCTGGCTTTTCATCTGTTAAATCAAATCTTGAGGTCTAGAGAAACAGTAATGCTGTGCTGTGGTTGTCTAGGACTGAGTTGCAGGAACTTGCCTTTGAAAGTTGACACTTCATTAATAAATTCTGAGGTATCTTCTCATTCAAAGGGGACAGGAAAGGTACACATTTCTCCATAAGGGACCTGAAGTCTATGGGCTACCTTTTTTGTGACACCTTGTTGGACTTCTGTGACCCAGACACGACAAAGGTCCGCTATATACTCCATACTATATTGTAAATATATGTTCTGCCTGTGAAACAGTACATAAGGCACTGAAAATCTGTTTTAATAATTTGTTACCTGTTTTGTTCCCCAGATTGCACATTGTCTGACAGAGTTAGAGGCTTTACTGAGGCAAGAGATAAGACGAAAGCTGGGTCAGGATGTGGACTTGGACTCCTTCGAAGGACTTTCTGATATAGACATTGAGTCGAGGTGAAAAAAAAAATTCTTGAACATGCTAGAAGTAGATCTGGGTGTTCTAACAGAGAGGATGGTCAATGATAAATTGTGGCTCAAAGGAGAATAGCATTGTTGTTTGAAGGCATCTGCAGTGCTAAAAGCAAGTCAGCCGGTTTCTGGAAATCCTTGGAGATATTAGTGTTTTAGAAAGAACTGAATATACTAATAAGTAACTCTAATATTGCACATTATCTGTGACTCATTACAGCACCAGTGGTTCAAATAGCACCGAGTCAGATGGTCTGCCTGTTCATCTTTTAAACTGCTCAGATCAGGTGCAGTATTTGACTGATTTATATAGAATTATAATAATTTATATACTGACTAATAGATGTATTCTAAACAGCTGACTGCAGTTTTTCCATTGGTTGTATGGGTACGCATGGGTGGGCAATGTATCCTTAATTTTTCTTTATATTTATTTATGTCACAATATGTTTTAATCCTGTCTAACTGGATTTACTGTAGTGCAGTATGTGAAATGCTAAATAAAAAATCATTGTACTTACATTATTTGATAACGTGGTTTCAAATGTGGTAGGACTGGTTCTTTTTTCTTTGTTCCAACCGATCGATTCTCAGACAAACCAAAAAAATGTGATGCATATTGTGTATCGCAAAAATGTCTTGAAGTATCGTGATATTGATTTTTTTGCCGTATTCCCCACCCTTATTTTCATGTTGCTTTTACTTTTTCAAGAATATGAAAGTGAAGAAGAAGCATTTGCGAAGCAGAAAAGAAAGAAATAAACTACGACAGCAGCGAACACAGAGTGCGACATCCGAGATTGTTCACAGAAACATCAAAAACGCTGTAAGCCTCAATCACCCAATGCCCAAAATATGACGGAAAAGCACCATCTCCCACTGCTGTATCATTCCTGAGGATCTCTTTTCTTGGCAGGATCCTTTACCATCAAATGAAGACCTGGTGAAAGTGAGGATTCAAGAGAAAGCAGTGACTCTAGAGAAAGACACAAAGGACAAAAGTCAAAAGGTAATGAAATCATATGCTGATTCCTAAATATAAATAAATTATGTACATGAAAACATAATGAATAACATGTATAAACATATATACAGTATATTCACAGTATATATGGATCATTCTACCAAATTAGTACAAACGGCAGTCCCACAGTAAAAAAAAACTACTACAAAAAGTACTTAGAAGATATTAAGATATTTAGAAGAGTTATGTTATTAGTAATAATTAGATCAATAGATATTAATAATAATAATAATGATTATGAGATAGTAATAAGCCAAATGTATACAAAATTGTAATGTATAGAGTACTTTCTATTGGGAGGTGGCTGTCCCAAACCCTAACCCCTAAATTTTGTTTTTTTGTTTTGTAAGTTTTGTTTTTTTTTAATATGTTTTTCTTTATTTTTTAAAGAGAAGCTGAACGATTTATATTAATCATGAGTTTAACTTTTAAATAGAAAGAAGTCTAAAGTCTAAAAGTCTAAAGTGTTTTAGCACTTTGAAGCAATTTGGTATTAATATTCAGTAAATGTAAATTATATAAACATATACAGTAAATGTTACTGTATTCAGACGCAGTTAGTAGTGAGGGGCAATCAGTCTGGAAGGTCCTGGATCCCTCATCCCACCACACGCATTGGTGTTCTTGACCATGCAACCTTTTGGGAGCACAAGCCAGAAAAGGTAAGGCATCGAATTTTAGTGTTAATGAGAGATGGTATCTGTGGGAAACCCTCAGGGTCTTCTAGGCCTTCAGAGAATGCCTAAGTATTTCTGGGAGCTAAAAAAAGTCTGTAATTTTTAGTTCATTTTTTTTATTTAATAGAATCATCACGCTTGTTGTAATTAAACTCTGCTGTATGGTAATAATACTCTTATTTCATTGTTTGATCCTGAAATACTGAATGAAAAATTGGCCAGTCAGGATTTTTTCCTCTGTGTTATCTCTATGCAGATAAAGCCGTATGTCACTGACTGAACACGAGCAATATTCTAACTGAGTGTTATAGTGTACATCTGATCCGGTTATTTCTTAGCACCTACTCTGATTATGTAAAACGTTTTTAAATGCTTATTAATATTTACTGATTTTCTTCTGTCATGGTATGCTTGCATGGTTGGTGTTGACTATATATCCCATGCTTTATATTTGTGGCATCCATAAAAAACCCAATTTAATTATTTTCTGTCATTCAGAATCCATATTTGGAGGCTGTTAGTGCAGCCTGTCTGCGCAGTGGAGGCTTGAATGATTCCTGTCAACGGCCTGTCACAGGTAAATGTCTGCAGAGGATTAGTTATCTATCCATCATATTGGCATCTTTTGTTCCAAGACAAGAAAATGTAAAATTCAACATCTGAAAAAAATAAGCTTTTATCACCTTTTTGGAAAGAATCCTTTTGAAGTACATTGGCTATAAATCTTTGCCTTGCTCGGCGTGACTTGGGTGTGTTCTTCTGTCTTAACAGAACAAATGTGTCATTACGCCTCGCGTCACTCCCAGACACAAAGGCAGCGTCAACCCCTGACCATCACTGCAGTCCGGCACCGCTTCTCGTCTGTGCCAGTCCAACAGTGCTCTTTGCTCTTCAACTCAGATGTCAGAGCACATGCTGGAATAAGAGGTGCAGCCATAATGTTAACATTATATGTGTGTGCCTTTCACCAAAATTAACATCCAGTAAATCTCATTTTAGATTTTGTGATAAAAACTCATGCAAGACCTGTCAGTGTGATGTTCTTTATGAGATTAAACTATACTATATACTTCACAGGAAGGTGCTCTGTGCCAAACATCTCACTGCGTAGGTAAGTACTCTGTTCACATTGCATATCTGTCTTTTTCATAGCGATGCGGAAGGTGATGTTCTGTGTTTTCTGTAATCGTTACTCTACTTCTAGTCATTGTCTGCCCTTCGCAATTGACCCTGATCTGCTCTTCATTTCTGTCAAATTTTTGAAGAACTGTAGTAACAGACCACAGACAGTGCAGGGCTGTTCCAGAGTTTCTTCCTATCAGAGGCCTGGAGCCCTGTGCCTCTGTTCACATCTACCCAACCCACACTGACAACCAGCAGAAGCTCATACAAGAAGGAACATCCCAGTCAACCAACATTTCATTCAAATACTTCATGCCTGAAATACAGGACACTATGGGCACCCTGAGGACGAATCATAAGAGAAATGCAAGAGGTGAGGATGATTAATGTTCATATGAGATTTGAAGAACGTGACTCCAACATGAAGTGGCTGTTTATGCACATTAAGTTGATAACTTGGTCAACGAAGTCTAAGTCTAATCTAAAAGTTGAGGGTAAAAGTAGGTGTGAGCAGAGAATGCTGGTACATAACATTTGTCTGAGTGTAAATGTACTTCTCTTTCACAAAGTTCACTGTTTTGGGATAAAATGGAATGCAGGTCAGATATTTAAAGGTGTAGCATATTTCCATTACTCTAGATGTGTTATCTTGTGTGAATAACAAGACAAATGCCATTTAAGAAATCCACAATTAGAGCTTAAATAACTGCTAAACCAAATGTTAGTGTTGCAGACATTAACAATTCATTTATAATAAGTAACCCAGAGATATTTTCTTTGTCTTAGCGGCTCCTACCGGAGGTGTGGCAGTACTGGACGCTGTGCAGTCCAGTGAAGCAGAGCAGCTCAGTAAACAAGGGAAAGAGGACTGCTCCTTTTTTCCTGATCTGAGGAGTGTTAACATGCATGGCAGAAGGTTTTTTTTGGGTTTTCTTCTACAACAAATCTTTTTTTGTTTTTCATCAGTTCACTTTCAGAGCTCTCACTACTGCATGCTGTTTTAACCCACAGCCACAGTCATGACAGGGCTTCAGGTGACCAGGCTGGATTAGGGGGTCTGGGGAAATTGCCAGGAGGGAGCGCAGGGCAGCGGGTATCGGAGGGAGATGCTGCTTCACCAGAAGGCCTACACAGTGAAGGCAGGTATATGGTGTTTAGTAAACATACCATTTTTTCTCCTTTATCATAACAGAGTTCTTATTCTAAGGCCGTTGGTTTATTTTATTTTCTGGTTCGTTTATTCTTATCTTTATTTTCAGTGTTGTTTCAGTCTTTATTCTGCACAGCGGTCCATCCTCCATGATTGTGCTGTTCTGTACCCTCACTTACTTTACTGTGAACAGTCAAATCTTTTATGATCGTGCGTAATTATTTTTAGCCCTGGATTGAAGATTATACTCATATTACTCAACCATTTTATGATTTGCTGAAAGGATCACCCATAGACAGGGTCCAGTTTCCATATACAGCTGAAGCTGCATTTAATAGGCTTAGATCTCTAATCTCTCATGGTTAATGATGACTACTGTGTAATTCTCATGGTGAGACAGTTCCGTGTCAAGTTAGTTAAATGTTATAGATTGGTCAAATGTTGTAGCTGTTAACGTCTGGCCTTACTCTGTCTGCCCTAACTCAGATTCGATACAAAATACTTCGAATAAAATTCAAATAAGGACAAGTGTTGTTGCACACCATACTAACACTAGAGCTGGGAGGGTGCTAGAGTGAGCTGATTAGTGCTGATCGTGTTCATACAATGCAACTGCATTAGATAGCGTAATTAATAGAATTTCCATTCACCACAGTGCCTTTTTACATCACCACAATACAAATTGTTACAGTTATGCACAATGTCACCATGCCTTGTTACACCCTTAGCCATTACTTCCTGTATCCTATGATTGACATGACATTTGCAAGGAACAGATATCTTACATCTCATTCTGTCTTCTCAGAGAGGGCCCACGCTGTACAGAGACTGCAGAAACAGCACAAAGCTAAAATCTCATGAGGCGCATAAGAAGAAGGAGTGTGAAGAAGATGGAATCACAAGATCCACAAGATCAGCACCACTTCAGGGAACAACATGGAAACATCAGTCCTGGGATGCTAGGAAAGAGTATCTTGGAGTATGCATATTTCATTTGACCTACATAATACATATGTAGTAAGGTGTACTGTGGTTGGTAAAGTTGAAGTTAGGAACTTGAGCATGTTCCCACTCTGAACTAGAATATACTTTTGGTTTTGTACAAAACCTCTATGGTGTCTGTTTAATCAGATTCATAATCTACATTTTTTCTGGCGTTTATGTACTTCTGCACCCATTTCAATAAAACTGATTATCTTTGTAACATATAAAATGTAAAGGCACCGGTGTGTTAGTGTCATGGACATCATATAGCTTGGTGTAATGTTTTCTGTATGATAAACTGCGCCAAGTATATTTTGGAAAAAAACGCATTTGTGACCTCTGGACAAAAACTAGTTGCAAATTTTCAGTCTCAAGTAAGCATATTGTGTTACTATTTATATACTCTCTAAGTCCCCATCTGCATTTCGTTTACTTTGAATATCATCTATAGTAAGACAAACACAAGTATTTGTTCTTCGTTTTTTTTAAAGAAACATAAATAACCATATAAAATTCTATGACAAGATGCACTGCTGATATAACAAAACTGATTGGGTGAAAAAAGACATAATGCTCCAAAATATTTCACATGAACAGTACTAATGATCACTTTAGTCTTTCAAATAATATTATCAAAGATGTATGCAGTTCTTCAGCAGCAGAACCACTTGTCATGCTCCAAGTTCTTGAATCCCATTAAACTGGCGAAGGTGGAAGCGGCTTTCAGTGTGTCTGACCATTGCACGAAGGGCGACAAAACCAGACAGAGCCTGCAAATGTGTGAAAAAACATACAAATGGGTAACATCAAGAAAAGAGTAAAGTACAACTTTTAAAGAGCTATTTATGAAGATGCTTTAAGTGTGCTGTTTATACCTCTGCCAGAATGAACAAGGCGAGAATTATATGAACTCCTCTTTCCAAAGGTTGAATTAGTATAGCTTCATTGAAGAGCTGGAAGAGTGTTAAAGGGAACTGCAGAAGGAGGCTCAGGAGCCAAAAACCAGCCAGTTCAGGGACCTGCAATAATGAATAATATATTGTTCTCCAGGTAACCAGTTTTAAATTAAATTAGAGCTGGGTGATATGACAACATATATCGTTATCATGATCAACTGCAGCCCTATTTGAGTGGGATCAGTATTACCTGGGGACGTGCTGTAAATGGAGTGATTACTGACAAGCACTGTGATTTTAATCCAGTATAAATTTAATATGTCCGTAGTTTTTACAAGCCTGCTAAGCAATACTTTTGTGATCTGAAACTCCATGACAAGAATATTCACATGATTTTTGATGATGGCCAAATTACAAAGAGGAGAAAAATGAGAAAGGAGAAAAACAGGAGTACCAGTGCATTTCCTCTCTTGTTGGGTGGCATTTGGTAAATTGAATGAAACCACTTTACTAGCCTAATGCTTGTCAGTATTTACCCCACATTGTTTTTTTTTTGTTGTTGTTCAGAAGTGTGGTGCCTGTGGAATGATGATGTTTCGATCTGGGCTATTTGGGGTTATTTGGGACAATTAGAGATCCATTATCCTGTATGAATCGGCCAGTAAAAACACAGACTAATTACATTACCAGACCTCCTCTTTTGAAACTAATCCAGCTTTCTGAACGTATCGTGGGTATCGTCAGTATTTGCAGAACACTGACCAACTGCACGTTTCATTATAAAGAGAGCAAAATTAGTCCCATTTAACTGGATTTAGTGCAACACAGTATGCTAAATATTAATAATTGTGTTCACAGTTTTTGATAGTATTTTTTTTAAATATAGGTTCTTTTTTCTCTGTTCCAACTGATCAGATGTCTAAAAAATACAAATCGTGACATAGTGTGTATTGTGATCATTTCTTGAAGTATGGGTATATTGTATTTTTGCCATTATCACTCACCTTTACATTGAATGTAATTATACATGCTCTAAAAGTTACCTTTTCTTGCAGATTCCCTGCGTAACCCAGGTAGAGTCTGATAGCCTCGATGAGAGTCATTAAAATTAGGATGGTGATTAAGATGAACTTGTAGTAGTCCGGGAGAGCAGTGTACTGAAACAGAGGACGAAAGGTGCCCATCCAGGTCAGTCAGTTGAACAATACTGCTATAATAATCAACTGTGCACCACAACCGCGCGATGGAAATGAAAGGGAACTTACTTTGAGGTGCAGCATCACTACTTCACTAATCCACCACAGAGGAAAGAACCACAGGTTGAAAAAAAGGGACATCTGAAGAGGGAGGTTTGATACAACTTCTCTGTCTGTGGAGAATAGAGGTGCTGTGAGTGGCCACTGCACACACTTCACTGATGCGGCAAGGTATAAACTAATTACCCAAGTTAGTTACTGAATTAGCTAAGCTGATTTAGCCACTTAACAAAACATCTCATCGGTAAAGAGCACAGCACCTGAGGTCAGTCCTAGCCATACAGGTAAATTAGTAACGTTAATCTTTAAGTGTTAGGGTTAGCTGCATGGATACGAAGCTAATGTTACTGCATAGAGCGGTTAGCTGAGAAAGTTAGCCTGCTAACTTTAGTGTGTGGAGCTCCATAACAGAGCTGCAGACTCACTCTGATTAAGAAATGTGACATGATCCTCAGGCGAAAGTCGGGAATGAGTCGGATCCACAAAAACAGTTCTTGAAAAATCTCCCAGACGTCTTCTTATGGGCTCGGGAAGGTCCATGGTGCAGACATCTCTGTCTCTAGCTAACGCTAATAACAACAGAGCAGTTGCTAGCAGCAGCTGTAGGCGTGTTCAGGCAGTGATGCTGAACGTTACTAGTACAGTTAATCTGGCAGTTCATAAACTGAAGATACATTTTAAAACAGCAGTTTGTACATCTAACCGCTATGAAATTACTGACAATGAATGTAAAAATAAACAATAATTTAAAACAGTTTAAAACAACATAACTGTTAAAAAACCATTAATAAACGTCCGTCAGTAGAGTTATTGGCTTTCACTGTAATCTGATTAGTGGGAACAGTAGCCTAAATGAAGAATCCCCTCATAAATAGCATATTATAACATGACTTTATTGTTCACTTTATTACTTCTGCCACATCAAAGGAGAATCCCACCATTTTTTTTTTAAATTTCCGCATCACTGAGATGTAAATAGACGTTCGGAATGGTTTAGAGTGAAATTGTGCACTGTAGAAAAACCTGCAGATTCAGATTTATTTAGGGTTGTGGTGTCTTTCTAAAACAACCAGTGAACCTACACGCTTTTTAAATATGTAAGGTTAATAGTGGCAAATCTGAAAAAGAAAAAAAAAAAGTTTATTGTGGGACTATTTTGCCCTGTTTGTATCTCTCCATCATGAATGGATTTTTAAATATATGTTTTAGGCTAATACCTAATATTAAAACAACATAAAACTGTTTCAGGTATCAGAAAAATGTATTTGTAACTACTTTGTTTAATAGCTGTCTGTGATATAGCTGTTAGAGGCTGTTAGAGATGTCTGGTTCCTATCACATCCACTCTACAATTCTCTCAGCAAGCATGGTCAGAATGAAGCACTTCACTCTGAATTACTTGTCGTAAATCTTAATGATTTAAATGTGCAGAAATGTAAAAATTTAGTAGAATTCCCCTTTAAGGGACGCACTAAAGCACAGCTTACGTAGACATAACAGGAAAATTTAAGCAAATTCATAAGTCATTGTAAGTCTTTATGTTTGTGTGACGCCAGCGTCTTGGGTCTTGACCATCATGCAGAAGTTAAAGGATCATTTCCAAGGAAGCTGAAGTTCCAGAGTGATCCACTGTGTCATAGAATCGGAGACAGGCTTTATACTGCAGGAGCTTTTCAGCCAGGTGACTCTGTCTCACTCCTTTATCCAGTTCAATACTCAGATCTGTGTACCTGCACAACAAAACATATAAGTTGATCTCAGATGCTTACAAGACAATACAGCAATGAGCCAAAGCATTATGATCACTTGCAGATGAAGTGAATAACACTAATTATCTTGTAACAATGGGCATGTCAAGGTCTGGGATATATATTTAAGTGTTGGTTCTTGTAGTCGATGTGTTTGTATTTCAGTCAGTTCTTGTAGACGATGTGTGGGATGTGGGAGAAATGGGCATCTATGTGCAGGGGCAACAAAGGCTATCCTGTCTGGTCCAAACCAAAAGAGGGGCTACTGTGGCACAAGCTACAGAAAATTGTACTGATTATGGGAGGAATGTGTCACAACATAGTGCTTCACACCTGTTGCGTGTGGGCCTGCATAGTCAGAGTGCTCATGCTAACCCCGTCCACTGTCAGAAGCATATCAGTGTCAGAACTGAACCTTGGAGCAATGGAAGGAAGTCAGGTGGTCCAATAAGTCTCTTGCGTGGTCCGATAAGTCTTGTTTTCTTTTACATCATTTGGACAGCCTGGTACGTTTGCATTGTTTACCTGGGGAAGGGAATGGCACCAGCACATACTGTGGAAAGAAGACAAGCCAGTGGAGGGAGAGTGTTGCCCTGGGCAATGTTGTGCTGGGAAACCCTGGGTCCAGGCATTTATATGGACATCAGTTTTGGACGTGCCACCTATCTGAACATCATTGCGGACCAGGTACACCCCTTCATGGCAGTGATATTCCCTGATGGCAGCGGCCTCTTTCAGCATGATAATGCACCCTGCCGCACTGCACACACTCTTCGGAAATGGTTTAGGGAACATGAGGAAGAGTTCAGGGTGTTATCCTGGCCTTCAGATTCTCCAGATCTCAGTCAGATTGAGCATCTGTGGGATGTGCTAGAACAACAAGTCCGCAACAAGGCAGCTCCACCTCGCAGCTTACAGAACTTAATGGATCTGCTGCTGATGTCTTGTTGCTAGACACCACAACTTCAGAGATCTGACAGAGTCCATGTCTTGGCAGGTCAGAGCTGTTTTGATGGCATGCAGAGGTCCAGCAGCATGTTAAGCAGGTGGCTATAATGTTTTGGCTCATCTGTGTATTTGTGCATGTAGTACCATCAGTAACAGCATCATAGTGCTTTCTAGGTATAATATATACAGAGATGTATAGTAAATAGTTACATTTACCCCATTGCATGTACATGCATTCAATTTAAATGAATTTGTCCTTTCCGGAGTATTCTTGGATGTTTTTACATTTTTATTTAAGTAAAAGTCATTTTATTTAGTTCTTTAGTGATATTTAGTTACTGATTCCTTTTTTTCTGTTTAATTTATTTCTGTAATGTTGGCAACAGCATCACACTGCTTTGTGATTGGTCACACCTCTGACTTTTGAGGTTTATTATTTTATTTTAGACCAAGAGTATGCAAAAAGAGAAGAATAGAGCCTAACAAACTCCTGTTCCTATGTGGATACATACTAAATGTACAAAGTAGTTCTGCTGCAGTTCTGTAAGTTACTCAGTACTTAAGTAGTTGTTTGACTTAAGACTTTTAACTAATCAGGATTTCCAGAAGCAGGGTTGGGCACCCCTGATAAGGCAATATTTGTGAGTGATGTGATGTAGCCGTGCCTATCAAACCTAAATCTAATACTTTGAACAAAAAACAAAGTACGCATTCATAGCCTACCTGCAAGATAATTTCCAAAACACCAGTGTATTTATGGCCATCAGCAGCGCCAGCATGAAGAAAAATCTCTCCATATTGCCGTTGCTGAGTGTATTTGGATAAAAGTTCCCTGAAAGCAGAAATGATCAAAGTGTTAGTCATCAGCCAGTGGCTTGGCCTCTGTCCATGAGCTCTGTTGTGTTTAAGGAATGCTGAAAGAGGAAGTAGCCTCACCGCCAGACATGAGATAAAAGAACTGAATCAGAAGAGCACCCAGAAAGCATCCTCCTCCATAGAAGAGACTAAGGAAGTGTAGAGAAATGCCTCTGAGGTTGCTAGGAGTCAGACAGAAAGAGATGAGGGAGCCTGAGTAAAGGGATAAGAAAAAAGAGTGAATTGTGCACGTCAAGGATATCAGTGACACAGCGTAGTTGCTCTGCTCTCAGCTAGATAGCAGAAAATGACAGGAGGAATCATACCATTACTGATAATGTGTAGATGCCTTTGAAAACGCTTTTGAAAACAGGATCTTGTATTTTTTACAAGAAATGAATGCTTACATGCTGGTGTGACAAAGGCCTCCGCTATACCCAGTAAGATGTACTGAGGTGCGAGCTGAAAACAGGCCATTGAGGACACCTGTAGCACTGTCCCTGACAGTGTCTGCTCCACCTGAGGGTAATCCTTTCTGTGGATCTCAGCAATCCCTGCAGCTAGTGCAGAAAGAGCCGCACAGGCATGCCCCATTGCTGCAAGACAAGACACCACAAAGTAGAGCTTGTTTTTATCTGTTACATTTATGCAGTGTGGAGTAAGTTGTCTTTAGAACTGTAACATTATTTGTAATTCAGTGTAGATGCGTACTTATGAATTTGGTTGGAGAAGGAGGTGTTTTGTTTGAAGACTGGTAGCAGGTGTTGACAAATTCCAATAGTGGTGCTAAAATTAGCAATGGCAGGATACTGATCACATTCATTGCTGCTATTGGAAGGAGAAAACCATTGAAGTTCAGGTGTGAATGCATGGTCTGGAGGTAGTATCCTGAAGGAATCTGTAAGGATGCAAATTAAGTTATATCCCACATCTGTGAGATCAACATGTACATTCAGAAAAATAATATGAGTATTTGAAGAATGAAATGTTCAACTAGACAAATAAAATTGTCTATGTTGAATGAATGTTGTATTTTTATAGGTAGTTTACTACTGCATGACCGGTTGGGAAGGACAGTACATGCTTTTTCTGGTTTCACAAGATCTTTTTGAGCTAAAATCTATGTACTCCTTAAAACCATGTAGATGCAAAGTCTGACTGGTACATTGCAGTAACAGAGCTGACAGATTCTCAGTGAGATTGCGAGCTTGTGCCTTCAGGGAACCCTTGCCAAGAATGGCAAATGCACTCTTAAGAATAAAGATGGTTCTTAGATTGCATGTATGGATCAAGAAAAAAACATTTAATTGTTATAGAACAGGGCTGGCCAAATCAAACATCCTCACTAATTAACTTTGGCATGTAGGCCACACTTTTGGCATAGAACCTTTCCATTATGTTGAGGTTCTTTAAACTTTAAACATCTGCCTCAAACTTACACACCCCATTCACAAAAACTTTAGGGAACCAGATTGGCTCTTCTATGGCACCACTGCTAAGATTGTTTTGACACAGTTATTTTTCAGTGAGGTGCAAAACTGGGACAAATGTCCACCTGTAGGACACACTACTGTACAATGTATTAAACAGTCCAGAGCCAACCAAAAAGTCCAGAACCAACCAAATATCTGCAAGACACTTCATGCTTAATTGATTACATTGTTACCATTATATATCATTACTGTTGTGTATTGGACCAGTGTACCAATGTTACCCTACCCCTCCACCATCTTGAGGGCCACTATCTTGAGGTATTTTACAAGATATTTGGGAGATTCCTGACTTTTGACTTTTGTATTTCCAGGCTGCAGGTTTAATTCACATGAAACAGGTGATTCATATATTTTACATACATTTAGATACATTTTACTGTGTAAGAAAGCATTTGTTTTGAATACATATTTACTTGGGTAATACAAGCACGGTAGAGCAGCTGCAGTCCGAAAAGAGGAAAAAGCTTGACCAGGATCTTAACGTTTTCTACACTGGTCTCAGTGTAGCGTCCTCCATTGTTCTCCTTGGCGCGGTCAAGCCAGTTAGCCACATCTCCACTCAAGTGACGATAACGGAGGCAGCACATTTTTAGGGAGTTAAGGAACACACCCAGTGTGGTCAGTAACGAGCTGCCTGTATGTTGCCGAACATATGAAAAGTTCATGAAGTCAAGGAAGCAGTCACAAAGCCAGTAATCAAATACAGTGATATCAATATAGTGCTGCCTATTTCTTGTGTATAATTTGGGTAAACTATGTGGATCTGTTCAGCTTTATTTGCATGCTGGGTTATAAATGCAGTGAAGTCATGTTGTGCGTTTCTGGATATGTTTGTTAGTTTGCTACCTTTTTTTGGACGGAAGATGAGATTGTTGCGAGCCATATGTATGGCAATGAGAGCCAACAGAACAGAGGTGAAGGGGATGAGAAAGCCCAGGTTTTTGCCCACGGACTGCTGAATGTATGAGATCCCCAAGAAGACAACGGTAGAATTCAGATTGACTAGCCAGTAGAACCTGTGGGTATAAAATGGCATCTTTAGCACACTTTCCAGAAATGTAATTCAGGTTTGAGTTAGGTTGAGAAATTCTTTGGTAGCAGATGAAAGTAGATGTAGACTTTTTTATGTACTCATAATTAGCCATTACTAGTGAATGAGTTTCTTACCAGTTGAAAAAGGACAGTATCTGGTGTTGGTTGTAACCCTGAAGGTGATAAGCTCCTAATGGGCAGAGGATAGCGCGGAAGCCCCCGATACCAAGGGCAGCAGCCAGCAACCCTGTGTAGAAGAGAACATGTTGCTCTTGTGGCTCCAGTTGATGGATAGTATTGTGTGTGTCGATGTAGAAATCCTCAAAGGGGAATGCAACTACAGGGAGCATGGCAGTACCTGTGGATAGAAATCACGAGTTATAAGATTGATGGTTGCATCCTGTGCTAGCGTTGCCACCCATCCAGTATTTCCCTGGATTGTCTGGGTTTCTGGTTGCCTGTCCAGGAAGAAAAATCATTAAATTTCTGGACACAAAATGTCCAGGAATCCAAGCATTTTCATATGTTAGTATTTCTTATGAAGTTATGAAATCCAGTGCCTTTGTATAAAAATAGCCCCTGATTGAGTGTCCAATAATCTTACAGGGCTGAGGTGGCAGCCCTTTCTTGTGCATTAACCTGCAGGCTTATAATTCTGATCTTATCTAATCTCAACATTAAGACTTGCTACAATAAATCATTTGATAACTACCATGAAATTTATATGCAAGTTATGTAGTTACAAGAGTGAGGAACTGAAGTGTGGCCCACTGGGCTGTATATGGACCCGTAGGGTTTAAGGTTTTAAATCCTCTGAGTAGATTTGACTGAAACAAACATAAGGTACTTATTCTATAGTACCTCGAGGAGCATGTTTAAAGTCCTGATAAATTACCACATTCTATTCAAGGGGTTTGTTGACACTTAGGCTACATTAAGATTTGACATACATGTGGATCTGCATATAGAAGACATGGCTGTGTGTGTGCTTATCTTTGCATGCAAGATGACTTTTAGGGTTTCTGTTGGTCACATTTTTTCAAAGAAGATTTTACTGCTATCAGTGAAATTTAAATAGTCAAGCTGATTTAGCAGTAAAAAAGGAAAATCAAAATCAGTGAAAATGATATAATGTCTAGCCTTCACCTAGTAAGTGTATATGATATACAGTGGCCGCCAAAGAATTATCGATCTGCCCATCCTTAATTTCAAGTAGTTATCCTGCTGAAAGATCCAGTTATGTTGTTTTCATTGATGCAGCCTTGTTGAAATTCTTCTCCAGGCTTTCAGCACAAAAAAAGTCTACGATCTGTTTTATTTTGAGCAAAAGTTTTTTTTTAAAACTATTTTCATTTTGTTAACATTACTTTTTGGGACCACTTTACAAGGCTCATATAAGCTTTATAGCTTCATATGCAACTGCGTTTCAAAATGTTCCATATGTTATTAGTGGTCAGATAGTGGAGTCTTGAATCTACTTGCCTTTAGTATGTATTATGACAAACATAATGCAAACATGTATGTTAAGGTAGAAAACATAGGTAGAAAACATAGTTCTTAAGTTCCCCAAATTGACCTTATAATGTTTGCTTCATGGAACAACATTCTAACTACAGATTTGCAGACCTTAAAATTATTCAGTCACATAATGAAACACATTAAACACATTTTAAAGCATTGAACAACTTTTAATTTGTCTGAGTTCAGTATCATAATCTTACCAATGAAATGAAGTAGAGCGCAAAGATAGAGAACTTTTGTCCTTCCCAGACACGTCTCTGCAAACCAGCCCACAAGAACAGGAGTGAGTGTACTGGCTCCAACAAAACACAGGTTCACCGTGGCTGCCTGGTAATTGTGATATCCCAACTTGATGGTGCAAAAGAGGATCATATTGCAAACGATCCCAAAGAAGGTGAACCTCTCGAATAACTCCACAAAAAGAATACAGATAATCACCTGCAGCTTCTTTCTGGTCTTTCGAGGCTTATATGGAGTGACCATCCCGCTTGGGCGGCGAGTAGTGGAGAGCCGTCGTAGTGGACGGCCATCATGAAGGCCAGGAACGTTCAGAGCCACCATGGTGCTTCTTCAGATGCTCCTTTGGAAGTGCAGTGTGGGCTGTGGATTATCCCCTCTATCTGTGCCGGGAAACAACAGAGCAATTTCTCTTACAGCTGTGAAGTGTTATGCGTGCCAGCTAAGGTTTGCAGTAAAAAGAGCAAAGTCATCTGCACGTGCAGAAGCTCACACACATCTTCTCCTGCAAGTTCTGAGTAATGTTTGTCCACCTGCTCTCCTCACTAGTGTATGAACTGGTCTTCGCTGGTTTCTGGGGCAGCTCATTAGGACAGTGGACATGACGCCAACGTGATGACTCAAGCTTTTATAGTGGAAATGATGTCAGGAACTTGTGAAGTATTTTTGTAATGAGTTGCGTGGTGGTTCTAGGTTATCACTTGTTATTCTGCTAAAGCTAATTACCCCCTAAAAGGAGAGTAGGGGACTGTTAGTACAGAGAAATTGTAAGCCAGGAAAGGTCAAGGTCCTTACAGTGAGACACAGTATTGTGGGTTTTATCCCACTTTGCTTATTAATTCTGTATTTTAAGTACTTGTATTGTCCAAAAAGTGATCTGTTAAAAAACAGATGTATTGAAAGCGCTAGACTTGTGGTGTGGTATATTTTAACGTTTGTGTTTACACAAAGAAAGTCATTATTACATGTTGCTTTTTAAATTATTTAAAAGGCATCAAAATCTGATCAACAGGCTCATTTCACAGGTATATATCAAAATGGTGTCTGCGTTGACTGAGTAAATTAAATCTCATTCAGCCTTTAATGATTAGAGATGCCTACAGCATGTCACGTCTTGGTGTGAAAGTTGGTGCAGTGTGTTCGGGGTGGGTGTTGTTCTTAGGGGGGACACACTGCTACAGTTAGGTAGATTATATGAAGCATGAATTCACAGGTATCTAAATGCGTTGTTCAACTTTTGAAACAGGAGACCCTGAAAATCATGAATATGTTTTTGACATGTAGCACAGCAGTATTATTAGTATTCCCAGTAAGAGATAAGTAAGAGAATTTGGGGTGAGATGCCCCCCTTATGTTTACTCCTTATCAAATGATGGGGCCAAAGGCCCCCTTTATAATACTGCCCCAAAAATATTATTCACCATCTAAGGTTAATTTGCTCTTTAGTTAAATTGCTATTATTATTATTATTATTATTATTATTATTATAATCATAATAATCAGTATAATACCATGGAATGCATATAGATAATATCATTATGCAGTTAATCACTGTAATCGTACTTTAATTAATGAAGAGAATTGACATTTCTATTATGTCTGTTGTACAGTCATTGATCTTTTGTCATAGCTTATTAAAATGAAGTGGAACCATTAAGACATAAATTGATAGATGCATGAAATTAATTTTAAAAAATAATATATTTTTGTGTTGTACTTTAATAACAAAAAAAAGACATATTGACATATAAATTATACATTCTGTAAAACCTAGATGACAAATTGATGCAAGATGAAAGGCGATGACAGTCAAAATAGATGTACATTAATATGTGCATATTAATTATTATTTCATTTAATTGCTTCAGTTTTTACAGAGATAGAAATAATTTGTCATTTCATGGTAGGAGAGTGACCTTTTGAAGTTGAGTTTCTTTGTTTGTGCTTGTTGGCCTGTTGCCACTTGGCGTCACACTCTCACTGTTCTGGATGGTTGCGGTGTGCTGGACTTGAATATTTCTGCCTGAGCTCACCAATTATGAGCAGAGAAAGGGCCACACTGGTGGTGCTGACTGGGCGTGAATGGAGCTCTAAGCTAGCGGAGCTGCGTTGAAAAGAGAAAGGAAACCAGTAAGACTGAAAGAATACCAGCTCTGTGTGGTGCATCTGTGAATGAGCCCGCAGTTTGGTCGCCATGGATCCCATCCTGCGTTCATCCTGGACCTGAAACACTTGGATGAAATCATTTTCAGTATATTTCCAGGATATTGTCTTGTTTTGTTTCGCTTTTAGTTTTACATGTAATGTAAGTGGGTTAAGTGGGTTAAGACCAAAATAAGACCAAAATAAAGATATGAGAAAGCATGATGACGTGTAATGCTATAACAGTTGCTTAGACTTGTTTTGTGCCCATCTCTGCCTTCATGTGCAATTCCTGTAATTTCCCACTAGGAGGCACTGTTTGAGTTGGCATAGACACTACCAGGATGAATACATTTCTAAAGTGGGCAAAGTTTCAAAGCTGGTGTGAATGAAATGAATGTAGTTTTAAAGATTCTAGATGTGCAATGCATTATTTTGCTTTAACTCAGTTCATTGATTTATTGTTAGTCATATTTCTGAGTCACATATGTATTGGAGTAACCACTACAAGCCAGCAGTTTGAAATGTGTGCCTAACACTAAAGTTAATCCTGTTATTGTGGTGATTCTCAGTGTCAGGATTGGGGGGTTCCTGATATAACACATCTGATTCAGTTCACAAGATGTGCAGTGTGTGTGTACAGTTAATTAATTAATCTTGTTGTTGAATTGGTATATGGGCTCCTCAGGACTGTCAGTGGGAGCCAAAGCATTTTATCTATATTTTTATACACAGAAGTATATGAAGAGATATGTATAGGTGCACTTTATCTGCTTAAAAGTGAACGTGTGTAAGCTGGAGGTAACACAGTAAGCATGCACAGATTTTGCACAGATGTGCTTTTGCTGTTCTTTCTGCTTTCTGGCCTATTGTGTTATGGGGTGGGAAAATTAATAGATTCATAGATTTATCACAGTTCTCTCTTGAAAGATTCTGAATCGATTCACAAAAGGTCTTATTTTTATATAGGCTCTGCATTTCCCCTCCTGTCAAAAAAAAACAAACTCATGTGCAGCTAGAGACTTAGAGAAGTAGGACACATTAACGTAAATCAATCTGTAGTTGAATTCCACAGCACTAGCACTATAACAAAGAAACATACTTTTGTTTTAATGAAAGCACTGGGACGTGACTGTGGAACTCGCTCATTTACTTGTGCATGTATGGCAATCTGGAATTTCTCCACAAGGTGGAGCTCTTAGCACACAAGCCGCTTTTGTACTAATGAGCCTGCACCGGCAGGAGCTCACAAATGCGCATGAAAATCATGATGTAGGCTATAGAAATCAAAAACTCAAGATGCATTGTGAATTCGTTGTATAATCTTGGCTCCCTGAATCAAAATCAAATCGATTTTTTTAAGGTGTCTACTGATTCTCACCCCTGTTATGTTATTTGTGCTCAGACCTTTAGCCACAGGTTCTCGTAAAAGGCCCAATCTGTATCATTTGAAAGCATCACCTGCTCTTTACATTGTGTAAAAAATTCATGAAGAATGGATCAAAAGAAATGGTCCAAGATTACTCAAATCAAATGTCATTATTAAATTACATGAACAGTTAAGAACATGTTTCTGTTTCCTGAAAAGCTACCACTTTGGATATAAATTTAACAGCAATTATAAGCTGTTTGAATTTGGAAAAAAAATCTTTTCTTATCACTGTAGGTGATCATTACTGTTATTCTGACTGTAAGAAGTAGTAAATGTAAGTAACTGCTGATTTGCTAATCGAGATTTCCTTTGCCTCTGAATTTAAGACTGTAATCATGTTGTTTGTATAAGACACTCTTTCATGTGCCTGCCTTATGTCCTACAGGTCTACATCTTCAAGGATCTTTAATTAAAACCTTTAGCATGTGTGTTTAATGCACATCAGGCCTGAGTACAAAAAGAGTTTAGTTTGCCATCAGCACTGTTTAGAATATCATGTCACCGCTAATGAACCTGACAGTCAACAGGTGTGCTTTTCATGCTACAGCCATTACTGATCTGCTAAACACTGGAGCAGGAAAGTGCATAGCATTAGTTGTCTTGTGTCCTTTTTTGAGATTCAGGTCTAGACAACTTTAATCACATCACACTGGAAACGTCTCAAGAAACACAGGCCCTCAGTGCTCCACGAGGCACACAACATAGCTTTAAAAGACATGCAAATAGTAGAGCATTCACTTTGATCTTTGCTCTTGAGTGGTTTCCCTGGTTGTAAATAGGCTTGGCGACGGAGACTTGCTTAAAACACCCCTGTCAGACAGCACAAGCGAAAAAAGAGAGCCCTCCAGTGCCGTCCATTGGGCCACTTGCATCTTGTTGCTCAGCTATAGATAGAGGAACACAGATCTGTTCCTTGAGGTGGGATAGCAGTGAAAGGTTTCAGGGTGCTAATTAGCGAGGTGGCTTTTGATTTGCGGTGCAAAAACGGCCAGTGCAGATGTATAGGGCAAAGGGATTAGGCCGCTCGCAGTGTGATGTACGCCCAGTCCCTTTCTCTGCTGCTGGAAACTCGGGCATTGAGGTAAAGCAGCCTCGGGATGTTAAGCTTCTGGGGTGCCAAAGGGGCTGTTGTGTGGCGTGACAATGGTGCTCCCTCCGCCCAGACAGAGGATGTGATAAGGGAGCTAATGTAGCCTCTCAGCCAGGCCTTTAGGTGCAACAATACGCTACATGAAGTGCACTCAGTACGAAGGCATACGTCCTAACTAATAAACGGACAATATAACAACTGATTCATTTACCTACATTAGTCACACTCCTCATTTAACTCCTTAAGCTTTAAGGGCCTGTATGTGCCCATATGGAAGAAAAACGTATGTTCCTATATTTGCTCATTTTAAAAATGTGCAATATACTGTATCTGCTATAAATATGATGTATTAAATACAAATCTGCTCAATATATTTAACTGTGCCATTTTTGAATGTTTAATTATATGCCAATATATGCACATTTATGTCAGTATATTGAAATGTATAGGCATATGTAGTCAGTGTCATTTTTTCAAATCAAACATTCATGGAAATATTATAACATTAACGCAGACTTTGAAAAACATATTGAAATATATTTCCTTTGCATATGAATGGGCTCACACTTATGTTCCTCACTGTAATAACTACATAACTTAACGTGTTAACTTCATTGTAATTGCACAATAATTTATAGTAGTTCTGAGTACTACGTCTAA